ATAGGTCAAGCAGTGATTTAATTAATATAATTTCTGTGTAGTTATTTTGGAAGTCTAAGCAGCCGAAACAAACAAGCTGTCTTCCTTCTACAAATTGGTGTGCCAACATGGTTGACTATATCTACGTTAAACCTGAGAAAACTTAAAAAAAAATTATAGACACAAAAAAGAGTTAAGCACGGCTTAAAGCATGGTTCCTTTAAGAGAGATTTTCCTGATTCAGTGGTAGCAGCAAAAAAAGACACGTGGTTTTGAAATGACAGCTTCCTGGGCTGTGCTGCCAGAGCAAGCTCTGGCTCTTTCAGGAGGCCAAGCATTTAAGTGAGGTTTGTGAACAAAATGCTACAACTTGCTTAATGGCAATAAAGACTGGCTGTGTGCCTAGAAACGGGGCTGCGAGCATGGCTCTCAGAGGCAGTGAACAGCTCCACCATGCTGGACTGGGCAGAACAAGCAGACTAGGCCTTGTTTGCCCTAGCAATGCTGCTGCTTAGGTTTTTAAGAAACACTTAGCATTTTAAGAAGCTGGACTGGTCAGAAAAGGATTATAGATACACAATAAGGACAAATTCAGACATAAAAGACCACGAAATGATATACGGTGTGTTTTAAAAATGTATGTAGGCTTAGGACAGAGAAGAAAAAGAGTATAGAGAGTTATAAAAGGAAGTAAGTGGCTTATAAAAAAACAAAACAAAGTGTTTAAAGAAACAGAATACAGACAGTCACAGATTAAAAGAGTAAAGATAATAAAATAAATATTAAAAAGTAATAGAGTAAAAACAAATAAGTCACGTAAAGATGAAAATTACACAGTCTGGATTATGTATATTATTGTGGTTTTTTAATTTTTTTGACTGTGAAGGAGTTAAGTACAGAGAGACATTGTATGGGCTGCTAAGCTAAACTAACCTCTATATTTTAAAGATATCTTGATTCCAAAATTTGGGTCTAAGGATTTGTTGCTTCGAAAAAGAGTTTCCTCTTTTGTTTTCACAGAAGATGAAAACCTGTGGAATCTTTCCAGTCTAACGTGGTTTGATGGGCCAAGATACCCCCAAAGGTCACCATGAACACCCCCAAAAAATACTTTGCCCAACAAAATCAGGAAGTAATTTGAAGAGAACTGTGCCCAAATTCCCAAATATTGCTTATAAATGTTTGTTTACATTTAAGGGGGGAGAACTAAAGAGCCTTGAGATTTGGAGTACCAAAGATTTGAGAGAAGAAAGACTCGGGAAGGGACTGGGCAATATGGATCCTGAGGAACCTTTTGGTCTCACTAAATCTTGACCCCTGGTACTCCCAACACCACTCTCTCCCCTATTTCCCAAACACTACCTTCAATTCTGCAAATGTGTGTGTGTGACTCATACCAGTGGGCTTGGCAGTTGGGCAATGGCTGATGACTGCCAGCTGTAGTCCCAGAACTACTAGCAGAGCAGCTCTGGGTGTGGCTAGCACGATCACTTAGGGAAGCCTGCTGTCTCACTCCTTTCTAATCTATTGTGGTCTACACTAACCCCACTCAGATTTAGCCCTGAATTTTTAGTGACTCAGCAAAATAGTATCAAAATGATCTAAAAACCTTCAAGAAAGGCTACTGTCCTGAAAATTGTTCTCAGATTATTTCAAAGTACAAATCAGAGATAAGAAAATATAACAAAGTATTAATGATATGTGTTAATGTCTTCATTAGGATTACTATTGCTGTGATGAAACACCATACCTAAAGCAAGAAAAATGTTTTTGGGTTTGTTTGTTTGTTTTGTTTTTTAGGCTTATGCCTTCATAACACTGTTCATCATTGAAGGAAGTCAAGTCAGGAACTCAGGCAGAGCAGGAACATGGAGAGAGGAGCAGAGGCCACGGAGGAGTGCTGCTTACTGACTTGTTCCTCATGGCTAGCTCAGTCTGCTTTCTTCTGGGCCCTCTCCCATCAATTTCTAACTAAGAAAATGCCCTACAGGCTTGCGTACAGCCTGATCTTATGGAGGCATTTTCTCAATTGAGGCTCACTCCTCTCCAGTGATTCCAGCTTGTGTCAAGGTGACATAAATGTAGCTGGTATACTAATTGAACATGCAATATTTTCTAATTCAAAGTCCTTGAAGTAGTTTCCATTTTTTTAGTCTATCATGATTCTCCCTGCAAGTCTTAGAGTCCAATAGGCAAGAGTCTATGTAAAATAAGTACTTCCCAGAGAGGGGGAAAAAAGGTATTTAGTAGGTTTCTTTATAACTTTAACGTATGTTAAAATGCAAATTTACAACCAAATTAAAGTTTACACTACAATATTAAATAGTTACTTTGGAATTTTATGGTATGGCTTTTCACATCTCCCAAAAAATCTTCCAAGGGAAACTGAATAACTCTCTGCAGATAGCCTTTTGTGGTTGATCAGGTGAGTTCTAAAGAATAGATAGACATCCAGTCTTGTGTTTCAAGTCCTGAATATTAAACCATCTGCTTTAGAACCAGATCTCTGGTTGCTACCAGGCAAATCACGGGAGGAGACTGTGACTCAGCTTTGGTTTCAGCATCCACCTGTGGCAGCTGATGTGAAGACAGCTGATCACAACAGAGTCATTGTCCTCAGCATGGTGGAGCAAGTGCAGCACACCTCAGAGATGCTCCCACCTTAAAGCAAGCTCACAGCCTCAAGGATGTCCCCATCCCACCTAAACAATGTCAACTGAGTAGACAGGGTGCTTATCTGAGAAACTCAAAGGTTGTGAACATCTTCCAGGAAAAAACAGGCAAATTGGCTTTCTGAAAAAAAGTGTCCAAGATTCCCTCTGGAGATACTCAAAGCTCCCTTTCCTTGTGACATTCTGGGACCAGGTTTGCTACTGAGAACCAGACTCAGACTTCTTGGAGGTAGCACATTAGAAGAACCCCAGCTGTGGATGAGCACCCCTTCTCTCGACCACTGCCATGTACTAGTAAAACAATTTTGCCCCCTCCCCCTATTTTGATGTAAAAATTATCTACCTCATGTAATTTAATATCTTTATGAATATTAAAACTTTTATAAATTCAGGGAATAATTTTTAAAATAGTAACAACCTAAAAGACTTTAAAATGCTGTAGAAGACTATATATACTATAATCACTATATAGAAGACTATACATACTCTAATCACTATATAGAAGACTATAAATACTGTGATCACTATATATAAGATTGTATGTTCTGTAATCACTATATAGAAGACTATATGTACTAAAATCACTGTATAGAGGACTATACACATACAATATATATAATGCCATCATTGTATAGAAGACTGTACTACTGTAATCACTGTAGAGAACTATATGTACTATAATCATTGTATAGAAGACTATATATACTGTAATCAGTGTATAGAGAACTATATACACTATAATCGTATATCGAAAACTATATATACTATAATCCTATACAGAAAACTATATATACTATAATCCTATATAGAAAACTATATGTACTATAATCACTGTATAGAAGACTATATGTACTGTAATCACTGTATAGAGGACTATATTACTAATCTACTGTATAGAAGACTATATGTACTATAATCACTGTATAGAAAAGTAAATATACTGTAGTCACTGTATAGAAGACTATATGTACTATACATTCTGTTCACAAACATTTTAATAATTTGTAAAAATTATCTTAATATAACATTAAAATCGTAAAGATGGGCTATAATATAAAATCTGATCTCAGGTTAAAAACGCAAATAAGAAAAAGAGAAGAAGAACATGTGGAATAATAATAGGAAGGGGATGACTAAAACTGTGTCGCTTTTAATTCATAGCACAAAGCCATAAAGTGAGATCTGATTCATAAAGTATATAGTTAGTGTCCCGAAAATATTTGTTTCATAGACAAATTCAACACAAATATAATAGTTATTTCTAAAATAAGTTAAAACAGTGACAGCTTATTCAATAAATAATTTTGACCCTTTAACACATTCCCTCATATTGTGGTAACCCCTATCCATAAAATTATTTTGTTGTTACTTCACAACTGTAATTTTGCTACTGTTATGAATCATAATGTAAATATCTGATACACAGGATATCTTATATGCAACCCCCAAAGGAGCCACAACCCACAGGTTGAGAACCACTGGCTTATTCATACATACCTCAGTAAAGATGTTTTTTAATTCTCTCAAATATATTATTAATTATTTATCATGTGAATACAAAATATTCAAAATGATTTCATTGAACAAATTATAAGAAAATTAAAACAATCAGGTATTAAAAGGTAATAAAATGTAGATTAGTGTTCAAGTTCAAATTTTAAACAGTAGAAAGATGGCTGAGGGTTAAAAGTGCTAAAGGCTCTTCTGAGGACTCATGTTCAGTTCTCAGCACCCACACAGGGCAGCTCACGACTTGTCTCTACAGTTACAAATGCTGCAGCGTCCTCTTCTGGACTACACGGAACCTGAACTCATGTGCACATACCTACATCACACACACACACACACACACCTAGATGCAAGATTTTAAAATAATAAAAATTAATAACAGAACGACCTCAAGAACCAGTGAGAAAATTTTAAAGAAAAGAATTGTCTTCATACTTCCTCAATTTTAAAACAAACAAGCAAAACACATAGACACAGAGAGAGAGAGAGAGAGAGAGAGAGAGAGAGATTTATATATATCTCACACTCACATAACATTATTCCAAGCCAGTTTTGTTCTATTTGATTTTAGCTTCTGTTTTTGTTTTTTGAGGCAAGGTACCCCCTGGCTGGCCTCAAACTCATACCATAGACCAAGCTGGTTTTTAACTAGAGAAGTCTTCTCACCTTGGCCTCTCAAGGACTGGGATTACAGGTATAAATCATGCCCAGTTGCCCAACCCTTATTTCAATTCATGCTACAAATAGTAAAATAACAATGAGTACATTTTCTATTTCAGTTTAAGCCACAGCTTTTGACAAGGTCTTCAAATGTGTCAACACAGTCAGTGGACTCCTTACCTCCTATAAGGCATAAGCTTATAGCAATCACTACAACAAAACACAGGAAAATGGTGACAATGACCATCCACAGTTTACACCGTCCAACCACCGTCTTGTTACAGGGACTCCAGGGACTTTCCTTGTCCGTCTAGAAAGTAAAAGAGAGATTGTGAGGTAGTCATTGGGTTTCAACAAATAGCATCAAAGTCCAACTGGAGACCAGTAACCCAGAATTAAGGTCATTAGTCAGCAGGCTCTTAACCTCAAGGGGTCACACTACACTGAATCAAACTAAGAACAGGGCAGAATAGAGCCTCAAGAGGAAGTTAGTCAAAGGCCCTCTGGGGGTTCTTTAGGAGAGGTGGGAGATGGGAGGAAGGATTTTTGTTCTTACAGTTTTAAAATTTTGCATTTCTTTTCTTTTCTTTGTTTCTTCTTTTTCTTTTTTTATTTCCTTTCCTTTCCTTTTTTTTTTTTTTGTGGGGGGGGGGTAGGTTTACTCTGTGTAACAGCCCAGACTTTCCTGGAACTCCTTTTGTAAACCTGACTGGCCTTAAACTCACAAAGATCTGCCTACCTCTGCCTCTCAAGGTGCTGGGAGCTGGGTTTAAAGGCATGCACCACCACTGCCTGGCTTGTATTTATTTTATCATTCACAGGAAAACCATATATATTTATGGAGTTCAATGAGCTAGTTCCAAACCCATGTGTCAGGTATAATGGTAGATCCATCAGCTCCAATATTTATCATTTCTTTTGTGTTAAGAATATGTAAACTCGTCTCGACTAGCTGCTTTAAAATGTACAATTCATTGTCAACCATAGCTTCTCCACTGTGCTACAGAATGTTGTGAAGCATTTACTCTCTATACCTAGCGACCATCTGCTCCCCATCCCTCCGTTCCTTTCCCTTCCCGGGTTAATGATGTTTCTGCTCTCTGCTCCTGTAAGATTAACATTTTAAACTTTAGCGTACAAGTGGCAATGTGATATCGGTCATTGTGTATGGAAGAATTGGATTTTGAAGGTATTAAAAACTCAGAAAACAGCATTTGCTGATTCATAAACTACCTAAGGATTGGGCTAAAGTGCAAAAAGAGACAGGAAATTGAAATTAGAACGAAAAGTTAGCTAGCGCCTACGGCAAGGCAGGTGTGTGTTAGCGTTAACAAAAATTACCTCAAAGATTTATTTGGTCTATGGTTTAATATTTGGTATTCATGGTTTGGGTCCATGGCCCGCTAACTCCATGGCAGAATGCCACAGCTGAGGGAATGTGAGGCCATTCACCTCATAAAAATCAGAAAGCAACGAGAAAATATGTCAAAAGAGTTGGGCATAAAATATAACTTTCCAGGACAAACCCCAAAGAATACTCTCTCCTAGTACACTCTACCTCCTAAAGCACCCAGTATTTCCCAATCATGCCATCCAATTATGAATTGGGTTTGGAGAGATGGCTCAGGGATTAAGAACACTTGCAGAGGACCTGGGTTCAATTTTCAGAATCCACATAGCAGCTTACAGTTGTCCATAATTCCAGTTCCAGGGTACCTGACACCCTCATGCAGATATATATGGAGGCAAAACACATAAATAAAAATTTTTTAAAAAGAAAAAAATATGAATTGAGCAACAGACAAGCCTGTAAGGAAAGTCAAATCCCTTAGGATCCAATGATTTTCCAAAAGCCTTATGGCTGTACATTGTTGCATTTGGAAATCAATCCTTAAACACGAGCCTAGAGTGATGGCTCAGGTCCAACAACTAAAAGTTTGAGTGCTGTTAAGGTTAGTTGGATCTAATTAGGTGTGCACCACTGATCGGCTGAGAGGCCTCAGGCAGGTTCTTTCACAAGGTGCCTTCTATATACGCTTGCAAACTCCAACTTACATTCGCTGATTGCATTAGACAGCAGTGGAATTTCCAAGACTTTTCTATGAATACTCTACAAGAGATCCGCCACCTCCCTAGGTAAACTACTAAACACGTGACATTCATACAGGTTAGCAGGACTGTCTATCTCTGGTCCAAAAAGCTTGTCTTCTTCTTGGCTCAATTAAGAGCAGTTATTGTAAAGACTAGGGGTAAACCTGTCAGAGCACGGGAGAGTCTGCACTTACACTTCTTCACTGTGACATCGAATCTAAACATATCTTTCATCCAAACACAAAAGAATCGGTTGATTCTTATACTCAATTGAACAATGCACAGCAATTGGGCTAATTTGTTAGCTCAAATAAGCCTTGGTTGCCACAGAACACTCAGTTTACTTGATTATTGCTAATACAGTGATGATGCCATTACTTAAGGCATCTCTAGGTTGCTGAGTCAAACCCCTAGTGGTGAGCCATAAAAGAAATCCAGAATCACCTTATCACCTACAATTTCTTTAGCAATTTTTGCCCAGGGGTATCAACTTATGGTAACAGTTGACAAAGAGGAGTTCAATGGCTCACATTCCTTTTTCTCTACATTCCAAATCCAGATAAAGGAAGGAAGAAAAATTCTTTGCATACTCTCCTAGCTCACCTTTTCCAAGCAGAAAGACATACAGTAATGGGATACTTATGATCTCAGTACTATTCCCTGCCCATCATCCATTTACCCATCCACCTGCAATTCCCCCTCATCAGCCTGATCTGCCACTCTGATCCTCATACATCATTTAAAAATAAATACATTACCTCACTGTATGTATTTATTAGTAATATAATTTGTAATCAAGGCAACTATAAATGAAATTATAAAAATCAAGTCACATGAATTTATCTATACATGATAACATCAGTTAGCAGGGGCCAGCAAGATGGTTCAGCAGGTAAAGGTCCTTGCAGCCAAGCATGACACCCTGAGTTTAATCCCTGGGTCATGCATGGTAGAAGAAAAAAACTGACTCCAGAAAGTCATCCTCTGTTTTCCATATGGACATCATGGCACATGTACACACACACACACACACACAATGCAATATTTTCTTAAAATTGACTAACAGCATAGACCTTGAGACCTTGGATCCCTGGGTCCAAACTTCAGGGGGCTCTACTATGAGAACCTGAACAGTTTGGCTGCATCTCAGAGCCCAAGTTTTTTCACTTAGTTCTTTCATCTGTCAAACCATGGAAACCAGCATCCTTCCCCCTCTCTCACACCAGTTTTGTTTCTGTCACTCTAATAAAACGCTCTGAGCACAAGCAGCGGAGAGGAAGAAGAAAGGGCTTGTTTGGCTTATCTTTCCAGGCCACAGGCCATCACTGAGGGAAGCCAGGGCAGGAGCTCAAGCAGGAACTTGAAGCAGAATCCATGGAGGAATGCTGTTGACTGGCTCCCACACTCACTCATGCTTAACCAGTTTTTATATTGCCTAAGGACTTCCTCCCTAGAAATGGTAGCCCCCACAGTGGCCTGGACCCTGCAGTATCAGTTGACAATCAAGACAATCCCTCGCAAACACATACCAACCTGATACAATTACTCAACTGAGACTCTCCTGTCAGGTGATTTTAGGTTGTCTCGGGTTGTTTTTGGTAACTAGGACAGCTCCGACTAAGTTGGTAATAACCACGTTTATGTGTTATAGTATTTCACATAAGACAGGTACAAAGCATATAGTATGGAAAGAAGATGGATTTAAAGAAGCATCAAAGTCAGAACTTATCACAAAATTTAAGACCTTGATACAAACATCTTAAGCATCTGAAACCTGGACTGGTGCGAGTCAGTACTTATTGAACCCCATTAATTGATCTTTCATGCTGAAATGCATTTCCTCCTCTTCTACAGAAGCAGAGGATGATTAACATATGGCAGGGGGCGAGGTTTTGTCCACCCTCTCCTTGCTAAAATGCCACCATTCAAGTATTTCTAGAAGGCCCTTCAGGTTCTCAGGGAGCCCTTTGCCCTCCCTCCATCCCATGGGTCACTGAAACTTTACTGTTTAGTGACCTACGAAGCTGTCTTACAAAGAAGTCTAGCGCATCTGTACCATCTGACTAACAAGGAAGTCACTAGGACCTGAAAGCACCATCTCCACAAGACAGGTGCTCAGCAATTATAAAATTCTAATACTCAGCATGGATGTGGCGTGTTCTCGACTGTTGTCCACAAGCAGCCCAGGGATCCCAGAAACACATGGAGCCTATGATGTTATATAGCTTCACAGCCTTGTCCCAGCTCATGCCTTTTTTTTCTGGAGAATGACTAAATCTTTCGGGTTGTACTGGGCTGGACTGATTTGAGGCAATTAGCTCTAATTCCCATGCCCAGACCCTGTCCTGGAGAATTATACAGAAAGTTCCTGGCTATGGCTACCTGCGCTAGCCTTCAGCCATATTTTCCAAACTTCATTCATCTGTGGTCCCAGTTCATACAAACCTAAGGTGCCAACTTATTCTCCAACGTCCTTATGAAATAAGATATTGCTATTCTGTTTCCAGGAATCACTGTGGGCCAAGAGTAAAGTTTTCAGGCTTTGAATTTTCACTAAAATCAACACTTGGGCACAAGAGGGATGAAGGTGGAGTGGGGCAATAGAACCCAGACTAAAACGATGCTTCCTGAGAGTTGAGTGAGCCCAATAAAACTCAGCTAACCTTAGGGGTTACTCAGAAGACAGGTCGCTCAGAATTCAAGCTCTCTGATGTTTTACAAGTATTTGATCTGTGGATAAAGTTCAGCCACTGCCATGGCTGAATCAGAAGAGTTTAACAACCTGCACACCCCCAAGGACTTCCTCCAAGATGAAAAGACAGCAAAGCTATTTCTGAGGTAAAACTTTGATAATTATTTCCCTTTCTCTGAGCCGGTAAATTCGCCAGGGCCAACCCTCAGTCGGGCCACAGTTCTTTCCCTTTTGTGTTCTTTGCCTATCTCTCTTCCTTCCGGAGGAAGCAATGACCGACGTAGGCGAAAATAGTGTGTTTGAAGGTGGGGGAGGGCGGAGGACATCGAGCCTATATCTATAAGAAGAGGTAGACAGTACGCCCCCAGTGGTGGTGGTGGTGGTGGAGTACTGAGGGGGAAGGGAGAGGAGGGAGAGGTGGGAAACAGGGAAGGAGAGCAAATATGATTCAATCCATCACTCTCTATACTTGCGAAAGAAAGAAAAAAATAATTTTAAAATTTCTATAACTTTCAAACACTGCCTTTACCTCCTTTTCGTCTCTCTCCATTGAAAGGAGCAGCCACGCCCCACTCCAAGGTTCCTGAAGTGTCTCTAGGTGAGGTCCCTGCAGTGGAGGGGTCTAGTCTAAGGCATTTTGCTTTCTTTAGCCTGTCCCCCCTCTTTGTGCATCCTGGACGCTAAAAGGGAGGAGCACTAGCACCCTTAAGCGGTGTCAGGCCACTTTCCTGCCAGAGTCCCAAGTCCTTACCTGGGTCGGGCTAGGGCTCTCGGCGGAGGAAGGCTGGATCTGGAGCCTGAGAGGCCTCTGCTCTTCCTGCTCCCTCTCCTGCTCCAGCGTCGAGAGCTCCAGCTCTTCCCGGGGCGATGGGGCTCTGCCCTCTTCCATGGCAGCGCAAAGGACAGACGTTCTGCCGAGAGGCAAGACCCAGGCACCTAAGGGTGCAGAGTCCAAGACAGGGAGAGTCCTCAGCTCATACTCCACCCACCTGGCGCGGCAGGTAGACCTGGTGCCGCTCCAGATCTACCTGTGGTGGCTGGCCTGGAGGGGAAGGGCGAAGCACTCTGGCTCTCTGGCCCTGGACAGCTGACCTTACCCCGGAAAGGTTGTTGCGAGTGGGAACCTGCTGCCTTGGGCTCCAGAGCAAAGGAGGGTTGTTTTTCTGGTTTGTTCAGGGTTGCTGCCTGCAATGCGTTTCCCTGTGGAAGGACCCAGACTGGGTCACACAGCCTGATTGCAAGCTGAACTGTGGCAAGGAAAGGATAGGCTGGGCTGGGGGATGCAGTTCCCAACGAGCTTCTCTCAGACCACTGTGTTGCTGAGACCGACTCCAGTCCTCACTGTCTAGCGAGGGTGCTCATCTACCGAATCAACAAACAGGCATGAATAATCTTCTGTGTGTCGGGCAGCCTGCTGGGTTATGAGCACAGGAAGATGAGTGACACCCAGCACCATAATTCCCCTTGCGAGCTGATTCAGCCGTAGGGGCAGTGCCAGTATCGCTGATAGTACTTAGTTAGGACAGTCTATTTAGGAAGTAGCGACGTGTTAGTTCTCCACGCACAGGGTGTTACTCGGGAGAGAAGACAGTGACGGGCAGAAGCAAGGACTCAAAAACGTTACTAATTTACTCATTATTATTTATCTTTGAGAGGAGGGACCATAAACACACCCCACCTGGGGAAAAAAAACAGAGCGCCTGTGTCGGTGAGCGCACACATACACACAATGCCCTCCACACCCTATGCATAGTTTACAACTGGCTTAGTGAGTCTGGAATTACGTTTGTACACCAAAGTGTGGTTTGGGTGTTGGTCCAAAGACCTTGCCTCTCAACCTTCTGTGCAAGCCATTGCACTCCCTCATTCCCTTCCCCCGACATACACAATTACTAAGACCAATTGGGGGACTCCAGAAATCTTGGAAATATATTTAAGTGTTGGGGTCCATCCCAGGTAAATGGTCTACTCCTGGGTTACATACGCAGGTACCAGACAGATGCTGTTATTGTGATGCTTAATCTCAAAGAAAGTCCTCTAAAACATCAACATGTTTTAGAAGAGTGTTTTATCAAGTGTTCCCAGAACACTGTGAACTGGAAATATTCATGATCTCAGGGCAGTCAGAATTTTCCAATCATTTTTACTAATTTGGAAAATAACACATCCTGTTCTCTCTCCTTTCATTTTTGAATTTTCTCTGCAGTTCTATGCAGTATTCTGAGCCCTATTTAATAATAGTATTGTTATTTCTCCTTTGACTTTGTTTAAGGAAAAATAATATTTTTTCTTCCATTTTATTTGTTTGGTGCTATGGTTAATTCTGGACTCTGACAATGAAAATATTATCCTAGGATGTAGACACTCTCTAAATTAAGGTAAATCAAGAATAGAATGTGTTGAGCAGGTACTGTAGACATACAGTTATTCAAATCATTACAAGACTTTGAAAATACAAGAACATCTTGAAAATTTAAATTTTACTAAAACAACCAAAAGCCAGGAGATCACATATCTGAAATGTTTGACCTTCAGAACACTTACCAAAAATGCCTCTGGCCTTTCACTGTTGGCCACCGTTATCAAAATCAAAATTCCACAGGCGTATTTCAGTCCACCTCTAGTGAGGATTGCAAACCCATAGTCTTGTGTGGGGGTGGATCCACGCTTAGTTTTGTGCCCAGGTGGATCAGTTTCTCCATATACAGCATGCCCCTCTACAGTCATGGTCCGACAAGACATGGGTAGAGCAAATTGGACTGGAAAGCAACACTGTCACTTCCTCCTCTGCCACGTACTGAATTTTGCCTTATGTCTGTTTGTGAGGTACCATTGTTTTGTGCATTGAGTTTTGTGAGAACGCTAGCAGTCAGGTAAGGCTTCCCTGAAATATCTTAGCTGTGTGCCGTGTTTGTCTCCATCCATGCAAGCATCTCCGCTTGCCCTGGAGCACGTAAGAAGGACATCTATCTTAGTTCTCATTTTCCTTTGAAACTTGGTTTGTGACATTACTTAAGTTTTCTTCCATCTATGAATCAGTAACATAATCAGTAATGTTAATGATGTTAATGATGTTAATGATGTAATGTTACCAATCATTACATCGTTGGGGAATTTTTATGGAATACATATTAATTTGTTTACCTTGCAATGAATATCAGATGAGCTTAATCTGACATTTCCAATTGAAAAATAGGATTAATTTTATTGATGATAATTACATTCTTTTTCAAGAATTCACATAAATCACAGTTAAAAATCCAACTGGTACAGTTACAAAAGAGAAGGGACATACTTATGGATCCAGGGAACAAAGTTTGACACCCTTGTGTAAACACCAGGAAAATTTGGTCTTCCACATCCATGTCCCCAGCTAACAATGCCGGTCAGAATCCATTTTCCGTCACTCTTTCTTCGACAAGACAAGGGTCCACCTGAATCTCCCTACACAAAAAGATAATGTAAACATGAAGGCATGTGTCTCATGAGCACAAAGTCCAGCATTTAGGTGTCAGATACATTGTGTTCATTCCGACATGGTTTTGCTTGTGTGACCACTATGAAGGAGAAAGCAATCCTCACACATCTTCAAAGAATTAACTACTAGTAGTCATTGCAGCAGCAAAAATCATAGCAATCCTAGGGGCTGATATCTAATTAGTGATGGCTATTTGTCCAGTAGTGTCTGGGTTCATTTCATTATCATACAAATCATGGAAGACTGACTTCCATTTGTGGGCCATTCAGCCTCAGCAGTTGGCTCATTGACCCAAGGCGAAAGAAGAAATGACTTAGTCATCCAGATCGACTTAAACCACCCCAAGAGCTGCTGGCTGCCAACTGTTTTCATCTGAGAATGCCTCTGACATCTCAGCTCCACAGAGCCAAAGCTATAATAATTTAAGGGTCAAATGGTCCCTACATCATGGAACTTTAAGTGTAGTATCTGGGGTTTTGTGTTTCTATTTTGGAGGGTGGGTAAAGTTACCGCTTGGATATGAAGGTAAGAAAGTGTCCCCTGTATCTCCATTCAAAAATTTTATAACTTGCTAGGTAGATTCTGACTAATAGAGAAATTGGGTCATTATTGTTGTTGCCGGCTCTATAGGTCTGATTTAATGCCCAAACCTTTGCACTTGTGTAGAACACAGCTATGTAGTTGGCCAGCCACAATGAGCACCTGAAGTACAGTAATGTTAGTATTAAGAAAGGAAAGGGCTCCCGTCCCACCCGGACAAACACAGTCACTGGCTGTGTAACTTGGAGGGAGGGGCTCTATTTATGCTTGGCCATAAAATAAGATAAAAGGGTGATGTGAAGGAATTTATATACAGGACCTTGCCCAGTACCCGCTGTATCGGTATGATGAGATGAGGTGCTGGCATTGCAACTAGAGTCGGCAAGATGTGGGAAAGGCCCCCACCGCTCTTTGTGCTCTACATCCTCTCTTTGCTCGTCATACATCATGAAGGGATCTGCACAGAATGGAATTAAAGGCTCAAGGTAGTATCCTACTGCTATTCACATTGCTCCCAGGGCAACCGTGGAGCCTACATGAATGGGCTCTGACTCGGCCTCCTTCCTCTTCCCTTCCCCAGAATATGCACCAAAACGAACCCTATAGTTTTGGTGCTAAGCGAACAAGTAACGACACTGAAGCACTTTGTGTGTATCTATGTGTGTATGGTATTCTTTTCCTATTCTTTTATTTTTAAATAAATTTATTTATTGATTTTACATCTCAGCTGCAGTTTCTCCTCACTCCTCTCCTTCCAGTCCCTCCCCTCAGCCCCCTTCCGTTCCCACTTTCCAATCCCCTCCTCCATTTCTGTTTAGGAAAGGGAAGTTCTCCCATGAGTATAGACAGAACACAGCATAGCAAGCTGCAGTAAGTCTAAGCACCTCCCCATGTATTAAGGCTGGACAAGACAACCCAGTATGAGGAGTAGGGTACGAAAAGCCAGGAAGAGTCAGAGAGAGCCCCTGTTTCCCCTGTTAGGAGTTCCGCAAGAGGATCTGGCTACAGTTCATGATGGAGAAGATGTGGAGCAAGGGGAACATTCTTCCATTGCTGGTGGGAGTGCAAATTTGTACAACCATTTTGGAAGTCAGTGTAGTGGTTTCTCAGAAAACTGGAAATCAGTCTACCACAGGACCCAACTGTACCACTCTTCGGTATGTACCCAAAGAAAGCTCAATCATACCATAAGGACACTTGCTCAACTATGTTCACAACAGCTATATTTGTAATAGCTAGACCCTGGAAACAACCTAGATGTTCCTCAGTCGAGGGATGGTTTTAAAAAAAAAATGTGGTACATTTACACAATGAATTGTTACTCAGCTGTTTAAAGCAAGGACACCAGGAAATTTGAAGGCAAATGGATGGAACTAGAAAAACAAATCATCCTGAGTGAAGTAACCAGGACTGAGAAAGGCAAACATGGTAGGTACTCACTTATAAGTGGATGGTAATTTTTAAAAGCTATTCTTTCTTCATGTTTCCATGGTCTTAGGCAACTGAGTCATAATTAGTATCTGGGTAATTCAGACGAAGGGAGGACAAGGCCTGCCCTAGATAGCCCCGGTATTGTGTAGATGAAATGTGAATGCGTTTACGGCAAGCACGACATGCTAGGCAAGGGGAAGGCGTAAGACTTACTTTGCAGGCATCGCTCTTGCCAGACATAACCCCTGCACAGAGCATCCGGGAAGTGATGATCCCGTAGGTGGAAACACAGACGGTTTGATCAATGAGCTCTACCTCTGCTTGCTGCAATACAGGGGAGCCTTTCTTATCTGAAAGACACAAGGAGGATGGATATCGTGGTGACGGTAAGGATTACACTTCTTCCAGGTTTCACCTGAGCAATCAGCTCAGATTATCTCCTTGAGGCCTCATTGTGAGTCTCTGGAGGTGAATTCTATTAGCCCCGTTTTGCTTCCAAAGAAATGAGGCCTTGCGAGATTCAAGTCTTGCCCAATGGCACACAATTAGCAAGGAAGAGCAGGACACAGCCAAAGGTCTGGCTTCAGCACCTTAGTCACTGAGCCACCGTGCCACTGTGTCCTGTGGTACTGAGCCCCAGCAACTTACAGTACCTATAGTCCAGGAGTGCTCCTCAAAGGGAAACATACAGCTGATTCTCCAAGGAAGCCCCAAAGGTGACCTGCTTTTCTATGGCTTCTCCTTTTCTAACTTGCCTGCCTATAACAAGTCAAAAAACATACATATACACTTATGCTCATCATGACACCGTCTCGAGTGAGTTGGGTAGTTTCTTCCACTAGTGAGAGATGACAAAAGGATTGGTTATATTTTTATCAACTTGACAAAAACTGGAGTCATCTGAAAACAGAGAACCTCAATTAAGAAAATGCTCCCATCAGACTGACTTGCAGACAAGTTTGTAGAGCATTTTAATTAATGATTGATGGGAGAGGATTCAGATACATCCCTGGGCAGGTGGTCCAGGGAGGTATAAGAAAGGCAGCTGAGACTGGGCAGGCAGAGGCAGGCAGAGGCAGGCAGAGGCAGGCAGATCTCTGTGAGTTTGAGGACAGCCTGGTCTACAGAGTGAGTTTCAGACAGCTAGGGCTGTTACACAGAGAAAACCTATCTCAAAAAAATAAAAAAGAAAAAAAGGAAAGAAGGAAGGAAGGGAGGACAAAAGAAAGAAAGAAAGAAAGAAAGAAAGAAAGAAAGAAAGAAAGAAAGAAAGAGAGGGAGGGAGGGAGGGAGGGAGGGAGGGAGGGAGGGAGAGAGAGAGAAAGAAAGAAAGAAAGAAAGAAAGAAAGAAAGAAAGAAAGAAAGGAAGGAAGAAAGAAAGAAAGAAAGGTAGCTGAATAAAAGCAGCAAGCCAGGAAGCCTCATCCCTCCATTGTCTCTGTTTCTGTTTCTGCCTCCAGGTTCCTTCCTGCTTTGAATTCTTGCTCTCACATTTTTAAATGATGGTCCGTAAAAAAATCTTAGTGCAGTAAAATAAACCCTTTCCTCCTCAGGTTGCTTTTAGTCTTAGTGTTTCTCACAACAATAGAAAAGCAAACTAAGATAATAAAATCACCAGGCACAACAACATGTAAGCGGAGTTACAAGTGTGTAAACAGCTGCTGTCCCTCCTTGGAATCCTTAGACTTCAGCAACCTCCATTTGATGGCGAACATCATTACTTCCATAAGTTCACAAAGGTGGTGAGAATCTGAGAAACCAGCCCAGAGGATCTTTAGAGTGGCACATCAAAGCTCAGGAGTAAACTGAAAATTTTCATGTACTATACCTACCCTTTTGCCTTGGAGAAGACATCAAAGGGATCTGAGATCCCAGGAGCAATACTTGGGCACTAACCCTTGGGCGCTAACCCTTGGGAAACACCCAAGCAGCTTCGGGTTCTCTTCCTCACTGTATATTTAAATTCAGCTACAAATCATGAGCCAGGGTAAACTGGGCAAGTGGGATAGAGAGGCTTCCCACGCATACAGCTCGACCTTTACCTGCCGAAAAAGATTCCTTTTCTGGGTGTGTGAAGGGATTGCAAAAAGCCATCCCCACTGGGGGGACTGATTCTAAGATGCTGTGATGCCTGGGTCAGAATTTGCAGTCTGAGGTGGCTCCTGACTGGATTTCTTTCTCACTCCCATTCCTTGGTGGCTAATCCTGGTGTGAGACATGCTTACATAACCTTCCAGACAGTTGTCTGGGCTGGCACAGTAGGGTATGCATATGTGTGCTCTCTCCTTTACAAAATCACTGCTGTAGATGGAAAGGAAGCCTAAAAATAAAAAGACATTGCCTAGAGTTTGAAACTTCTGAATTTGTAAAGGGCCCGTATTGACCAGTCCTGTTTTGTGGGTAAAATTCCTCTCTCCCTTTATCAGTTGAGTCCTGCTTCTTTTACAACAGGTAAAAAGGTCACAAAACAGATGGTATACTCAGTCATCCCTGCGAATGCCAAAGCATTAGGTCAACCCAGATGTCTTTCCTTTGTAGGGCAGGGGAGTGATCATTCACTCATACACACCTGCTTCATGCCTTCGCCCCCAGCCGGTCACCCAGCACTTTTCCCCACCGCGCACTTTCTGGCCAGCTGGGGGAAGACATATTGGCTGAATGATCTGCTTCAGGGTCTCAGGCCAGGCTATACTGAGCTGTAGCAAAGCAATATCATAGTCAAAGGTTTGACTGTTATAGTATTCGTGGACCACAATCCTTCTGAGTGGAGAGATGAACTTGGCGCTCCCCTGCACATACATCCCAAGGTGTGCAGTCCATGGAGTGGGGTCAGACAGCCTGGTGGAAAAGGAATAAAGCACAGGGTTAGTAACTGTTGGAAAGCAAGTACTTACAGAGCCATGATCAGCATGCACAGTGGAGGGCGTTACTGCCAAGCCCTGTCCTAAGTCCTGATTCTGTTCAGTGCCATAGCAAGGTCCGCAGCCTCCCTTGTCTCCTTGCTAGACACAGCCATGATGTAAGTTGTCTAGTAATAGCAAGTTATAGCTGGACTCCAGAAAATTCTCTCGATGGTGCTTTGAGAAAATACCTCAACCGTTTCTTGCCCTGTGTCCTCTCATGAACTAACCACACACAGGTCAAAAATATGGGTGACTTCAATTAATTTGTTACTCTTTTATTTATGCTAATAATGTAGACACACAGGGACAGTAAGGTATTGTATGGGGACCCTTTTTTCAAATTCAAATGAAATGGCTATCAACAGATTAGACACTGAAATGCTTTAAGCCTCAGAACATTATTGAAATACTTTCTTGTGAGCTATCAGAATTTTTGCAGATCAGTGTAGTGGATGCTCAGGCCTTGGCCAATCCATCTGAGAGGGGCACTCCCTTATAAGGTTTGGTCTCCCACAGAATCAGTGTAGCAACCAGGGAGAATATGGGTGCAGAGGACATGGAAACTTTGGAAGAAAGCTAAGGACATGGTTCAGAGAAAGGCTAGCGTCATATTTGGAGCAGTTATTTTATGTATTGATGAAGTTACTTCAATAATTAGCATGAATCCTGTAAGCTCCAGGGAAAGTTAAGATTCAAATTATGTAACTTCACTGTAATACTCTATTTAAAATTTTGGATTAATTGGTGTTTTGTTTTACTTAAGATCCAGCAGATCTCAGACATGTTTAAGATTTTTGTTTGTTGGTTTGTCTTTTTTTTAAATTTTTTTGTTTTTAGATTTATTTTTTGTTTTATTTTATTTTGTGTTCACTGGTGTTTTGCCTGCATGCATGTCTGTGTGAGGGTGCCAGGTACCCTGGAGCTGGAGTCCCAGACAGTTATAAGCCATATTGGTGTTGGAAAATGAACCCAGGTCCTCTGAAGCAACAGCCAGTGCTCTTACTGCTGAGTCATCTCTCTAGTTTTAGGTGTAAGGTTTTAAGTGAGGTTTTCTTTTTTCTTTTTTTAAGTTTTGCCTTTACCCTTAGTTCAAAGAGAATCTGTCCCTTAATAACTCTACGGGCAAAGGCAAACAGAGCCCTTCTGATGCCAGCCCTGGCTTCTGGTACCCCTGCCTCATCCAAAAGAGATACCTGCTCACCAACCATCCTCCAGTACTGCCCTTCTCTACATTCCGTACACTGATTGGGTTTGCCCCTATGGTTTGAAAGCCAGTCTCCATTTTCTCAACCTAATGAAAGTATATCCAGCCTTGGTGATTCCTTTGTGTTCTTTGTCTTTATGTCAATGGTATCTAAAATCAAAACTGGCGTACAACTGGCTCCCTCCACCCAAAAACATAAAGGAGCCCAACTAAATTGTTCATTTCCACTAGAAATCTTTTTCCCCAAACTGGAGGTGAGATGTACAGTTTTGAGGGTGAAGAATGGGACAGCCTACCTGTTTCCATGGAAACAATGGGCTGCTGAGAGAAGCCACTCCCTGGAGATGACGGAGGCCCCACAGTAGGCTGATCCAACAAAGTGGAGGCTGACCTGCCATGGCCAGGTCCCCTCTTGAGAGTCAGAACCCCCAACGATGCGGTGGAGGGAGGAAGAGCCCCTGCTACAGCCTTTGGGAGAGGAAGGGTCATATGACTGAAAGGCAGACAGAAACAGAAACACACAGAGAGAACCGGAAATTCGATCACATTCTGGCTGTGTTGCGAACTGAGTCATCAAGCCATCAGTTGGCAATCTCCTGCTTATCTGGCAGAGAGGAAATCTATAGGTCTATCTGGGATCAGGGCCAACGCAGCACCCCTCCTTTGCTTCTGAGAGCATGCCCTGACTTGGAGTCTATACGCTGATGCCTATGGGGGAGAAAGACCTTGTACTAACAGCTGACATCAGCAGCAGCTCATGGAGCTAGGGATTATGTGGGAGAGAAACAGTAACTTCCAAGTCTAAAAGAACTGAGAATGCCTTCAAAGTGGTGATAATTTGAGAGAAGGCATTTAGAAGAGAATTTGTAAGTCCAAGAAGTGGACAGCTACTGAAATTTAGATATCAGAGCCCTTGCTTTTCAGTGTAAATGGCATCGATAAGGATGGATCATGAACCTGTTACCTCATGATTGAGGAGGACATTTGGCATAAAGAACTTTGGTGTTGTCCTTACGGAGAGTCATAGCTAAAAGTCATCCACTGGAGTCCACTGCTTTGCGCACAGGTGACTTCCTCCTTGACTGGGATCCTGTGTGTTAACTCTATTATCACGGAGGAAGCCGGAACAAACCTGAGAGATTTTTATTTCTTTGGAATAGTGTTGGATTCAGGACACCAATAAGTACTGTTATTTCCTAGATCCCGAGCAACCTCTGCTTGAGGAATGGTAGCCGGAGGCCATGGGCAGTGGATGAAGGAAGAGAGAAGACAGGAATCAAAAGAAGCCACTTCTACTCACTGCAGCCCTCCTCGTCACTTCCGTCTGGACAATCCACGATCCCATCACACTGCGCATTTTGTTTCCGGAAGCAGATGTCATTGCCACATTTAAAGGTCCTGTTGGTGCACGGGATGCCTAAAAATGAGTGAAAAGAAGGAACAGTTTCGGTGTCTGTTGTTGTTGCTTCTAGCCAGAAACAGATTTGAGGGAATGGAACTCTGCGAAAAGAGTTACAGTCACACCACCCCTGTTTTCTGCTCTGGAAAAAGCTAACAAAATACGCAGGGTGCCCAACAGGGACATTTTCCTTCACCTAAGCAGATCCCTTGGAAGGCAAGACAATAGCACACAGCTGAGGATCATTCCAACTGCCTCCCTCTCCATACCCCTGGCGAACACAAGATTAAAAAAAAAAAATTGACCATATCAATGGCCTTGAGTCATAGCTTCTTAGCTATGGCTTAGTTTTACTCTCTTAAGAAAAAAAAAGTCACAACCATGTCACATGCTGTCCTTTTAGGTTGTTGGAGAAAAATAATGAAGAGATACTCTGAATTACAATGCATTTGTTCACGACCCATGGGATTCACTTTCTACAGCTGTGTTAGCAGGGGTCCTCACAGTGTCTGACAGGCTCGTCTATGACAGACCTTCATTGTCTAACCAAAGCTGGCACGAAAAGCCAGTAAAACCATGAAGACATGCCAATATTTGCACGGGAGCACATCCAATCCCACTCCACCTACTGTGAGCAAGTATGTCATTGTTTTCTTGGCTGGGTAGGATTCTCCGAACAAGAGCTATCAGGGCTAAAACTGAGAACAGTCTGGGGAAAGTGGGGCGAGATGATCTCTCTGAATGCAACAGAGCTCTTGGCTCCCTGAGGAGCTGCAGAAAGAACAGAGCCCGGTGTGTCATGCTCACTCCGCGTGCAGTTCTGCTCATCCTGGCCGTCCTCACAGTCCCAGAAGCCGTCGCAGACCAGAGGGCCGCGCTGCCGGAAGATGCTGGCGTTGCAGGCAGGCTTGGCAGTCACTGTGGTGAGAGACAGAAAAGTCAGGAGCACAGGACATCAGCTGGTCTCCCTGACGACCAGCAGGACCCCTCTAAAGCTGTGAACCTTAACGTGCAAGTACTGTGGGGCGACACAGTGTGTTTCTCTTGAAATGACACATCCCTGGGAGGAAGCGGATGTTTAGTGTAACTCCTTTTCTAGATCTTGTTTTTGCTATTGTGTGAGTGCATTTCAATTGGGTGGTTTATGTCACTTCAATTCATTGCATCATAAAGAATCATGTTTTGTTTTCCTTTTGAGATAAGATTTCACTGTGTAACCCTAGCTAACCTGGAACTCACCATGCAGACCAGGCTGAACCCTGAACTCAAGGAGATCCTCTTGCCTCTACCTCCTGAGTGACAAGTTTAAAGATGTATTCCACCATGCCTGGCATAAGTAACCCTTTTCTAAGAAAAATAATCCTCCTCATCAGCTACGACCTGAGTTGAACTTGCCTACCCTCCTGAAGAAGGTGCAGGGGACTGAAATGGGAGCTTTTATCTCATTCATTTTTTTTACTTTGGGTCCCTGACCAAAAAAAAAAAAAGAACAGGTGTTCACAAAAAGCTTGGTGAATGAATTAATGTGAAACCACCTTAATATTGTTTTATTCTGATAGATGTATATCCTAAACATCACCGCTTCCTCTTTGACATGCATCTTGAATTACCTTCACAGCCATGGCAGGCACAGTGCACCAGCAAATGCTAGACTTCCTGAGCCTCCTTATTCCCCAGGGAAAGATAAGTGTGCTATATGCCCCATTCTGTAGTCCCACAGTGCAGGACAATCAGACATGATAGGGAGTCCAATCAAAGCAGGAACTCAGTTTGTTACTGTGAGCGTCAGCTTATATATGTTAAGTGACATTCTGTGATCTGGGGGTACCTCCAGTCAATGAGAGGCAGCCAAACCCTCCTCCTGGCTGGAGGGGCATCTACCCAGTTTTTGCTGTCTCATCCTCACTCAAACTCCAGCCAGGTTTTTTCTGCCCTAGAGTCCTCAGGTATAGGCTCTGAGATAATTTTGGCCCAACATCAAGCACCTGTAGAAGGGACATTTTCACAGTGATTTCTGGATTGTGAAATTAGCACTTTTACTGTCTCTGCCTGGGTCACCAGAGTATTTCTCATCTTCGCCCCTTTGAAGAGTGAGGGAAGTACACTGCTACCTTGAAATAGTTGGTTGTCTCCAACAGGGCCCAGCTGACAACCGAAGGATAGCTTCAAAATTGATGCAGTGAAATATAATGATAAAAATATTAGTCCTTATAAAGTAATAGCAATGGCTTTCATCTGGAGCATCAGAGCAAAGAACAGTAATGGAAAAAAAAAAGAAACCTTCAACCACGAAAACTGGCAGCACCTCTTTTCTTAAAAAATAGAAGCCAGGCTGTGGCAGAGCATGCCTTTATCCCAGCACTCAAGACAAGGAGTTAGAAGGATCACTTGTGAGTTTGAGGCCAACCTGGAATCTCTGCCTCAAAAAGTACACACCCCCCTGCCCAAACATAAATGAAAGAAAAAGAAGACAAAGAAAGAAAAGAAATAGAAGATTTTATAGATTTAGAGTCCTAATAAACCATAAATTAAAAAGATTTTGTTATTTTCAATTTAAAAGTATACAAAGGAGTTAGGCATATAGTTCAGTGTTAGAGTACTTGCCTAGTATAAGAAAGACACTAAGCTTGATTCCAGTAACACACACATACACAAAATTGTAGAGAAATGGGTTATTTTATGAACGTAATTTTATATAGTTGCAGTATAATAAATATAATGTCTGTCCAAAGATATGGAAAAAATGCATACTGTCACTGTTACGAGAATATTTAAACATGGACAAAAAAGTTGACAATAACTTTATATTGTCCTGCAAGTTATCTTCGAAACATCATGCCCTGAAACTAGAAATCAACTCAGGGACAGGTTGCAAATGACAATGAAAAACCAAGCTATAAATCCTCTCTCTAGACTAGGACTATCTTGTATCCATTCCTTTGTCGTTATCAGCATGAGATCAGTGTATGTGTGGAGGAGAAGGCAGGAAGAACGTAAGAAAGCAGTGTCTTCAGACCCGGCAGGCCGAGTGCACATATGAGCTCACAAGACTGTGGTGGGAGGCACAGGACCTCCATAGCTTCAAGCCAGACTGGATCTCAGCACTGAGAAGGGGAAGTGGACAGGAGCTAACCAAGATGCTATCTCCAATTGGCATCTACTTGCAAAAGAAAAATTATTTTTTTCCAGTGGATTCTCACTGGGTATATTAACTACACTTAAGGGCTGGCCACATACCTAACAGTAGATGGGCAACACAGAACAAACTCAGTGGAATTTTTGTAGACTTTTTCTCTCCTATTGCTTTGTTTGGTATTTTTTCTTTTTATACGCTACCAATCTTTTGGTTGTAAATTATGGTTTCCAATTTTGTACTTTTATGGATTTTGTTTTTGTGTCTGTCTCTGTGTGTGTTTCTTGTGGGTTTTTTTTTCCTGTTGATTTTCTTTTCTTGTTGTTCTGTTTTCTTTGTTTGCTTTTTTTAGAAAGAGGGAGAAAAAGGGTAGACTTGGTGGATAAGTGGGCAGGGTCTAAGAAGAACTGGGAGAGGAAAAACCTTTATCAATATATTTTACGAAAAAACTTTTTCAAGGAAGTCAGGACCGCGAAGGGTGCATTCACCCACTGATACAAGAGGACTGATCGAAGGAGAGCTCACCAAGTTCAGCTGGACTGGGACTGAACAAGCATGTGATCAAACCGGATTCTCTGAATGTGGCTGACATGGGGGCTGACTGAGAAGCCATTGACAATGGCACTGGGTCTTGTTTCATCTGCATGGACTGGCTTTTTGGGATGCTAGTCAGTTTGGATGCTCACCTTCCTGGACCTGGAGAGAGGGGGGAGGAACTTGGACTTCCCACAGGGCAGGAAACCCTGACTGCTTTTGGGATTGGAGAGGGAGGAGGAGAGGGAGTGGGGGGAGCGGGAGGGTATTGGGAGGAGGGGAGGAAGTGGAAATTCTTAGAAAGAAAGAAAGAAAGAAAGAAAGAAAGAAAGAAAGAAAGAAAGAAAGAAAGAAAGGAAAAAGATAAAAAAAGAAAAAACTTTTTCAATGAAAAAGTAACTATAACAGAAAATATAAATAAATCCAGCTTGTTTACCATGTCTGTGTTCCAAGAGCAACCACACTGAATTTACTTCTTGAAGATTCTGAGCTCTTCAAGGAGAAGGATCTGAGCTTTGACATAGGATAGTGGTGGCTTAGGTCTTTATCCACAAGCCGTTTGTCCCCACAGTCAGAGTAATGCCACAGCCCTGGGGTACGCAAAGTGAATTTCCCTCCCTCTTGACTATGGGCACAGTTATGTGACTTCTGAGCTATGGAATATGAGATAAACTTTTCAAGGCCAGGTCACATGGGGAGTCACATGTTTCTGCTGACTTTTCCTTGCTTTTGTTACTACTAGTTCCTTGGCTCAATGAAAGAAAATGCCATAAAGACCAGCCATAAGCCCCGCCTGGAAGGACTCAGTACAGAATGGCCCAGTGCTTGAACCTGAGCCACTCAGTTAAGCTGAGCCTACGCAACTCATGAATGCAAGATCAAGAATAAATGATGGGGTTAATCATGCCATTGAGTCTTGAGATAGCTAGTGATTGCAGAGCAACCACAGACACTGGAGTCAGCCAGCAGCAGCAAAGATTCCAAGGAGTGGCTTCTTCATAATGAAGTCATATTCCACCTACCACAGAAAAGCTCGTCACTCTCATCGAAGCAGTCGTTTACCCCATCACAGCGCTGGGCCTGGGGGACGCACAAACCGGATGAGCATCTAAAAGACCCGGCAGGACAAGCTACAGGCAATTAAAACAGAAGAAGAAGAAATAAAGAGGAAAGATACAGAAGTTTTTGACTTGGTTCCTAAAAGTCATCAGACTATCTTAGCAAAGAATTACAAAGTATTAGTTGGTTAGAGATTTGGCAGACAAATTGAAGCAATGATACAGTTTCTCCATCAAACCAAGACTATGCGTAATTCTTAATGCATGATTTCCACAAGCAAAGAATAAAAGCAAATTAAAGCTACAAAAGTAGAATATAGTAAGACCAATGTCTGTTCCCAAGGCCCGGAACTCCTGCTTTCTCCCTCACTGCCCATGGTTCCTTCCAATTTAACTAGGCTACTCATCAAAGATAAAACCTTTGAACCAGAGCTTATGGGTAAGCATTACACCAATAATAAGTCCTCTCTCCTGTCATATGAAAGAACAGAGAACACATGCCAGACCAGCGACTGTCTCAGTGGCAGTGGGAAGCGTGGGTGGCCTGCTAGACCATCATCAGGGTGTGTGAAGCCATTAGCAATGGGTACGCTTTGCTTCTCCCGTGTGCCCACTGGAAATTCAACCACTCTGAATATCAGAGTGCAGCAATGAATCCAGAAGCAGGTGCGTTTGGAATTGGCAGAGTGGAACGCGTTAGAAAGACGCTTCTTTTCTCACACTCGTGGCATCTCCACCGCGTCACTTTTATTTGTCTCCTTCCAAAAGAGTCTAAAATATCTCTAAGTCATTATCTACACTCCGCAGCTTCAACCACTTCCCTCAAACGTTGCCTTTCCCAGGACCACTTCCTGGCTATATTCTGTGGTTTCTTATACACATTTCAACTTTCTGAAAGTTTTGAGTCATCTCAACTAACCATCTCTCCACAGTCATTGTCAGCCAAAGAGAATACCGAACGCCCCTCATAGAGCCCCTGTATGTTTGCAGAAACACTATGATCACATGGATTTGTGGCTAGCACAGGAAACATCACGATGAGTACTGTGGAGGCTGAGGCAAGAGGATTGCCTCAAGTTCAACACCAGCCTGGTCTACATATGCTATCCAGAATTACACAGTTAGAATTTGTCTCAAAAGGAGAAAAATGAGAAAGAAAAAAGAAGAAGGTGAGGGAAGAAAATCAAAAAATAAAGACCAAAATATAGGCTTTTCTTATATTTTAGAAGTCAAATGAAAAACTGTATTTCACCTCTAAGTAATATCAAAAGGCCATTTTAAATATATATATTTTAATATAATTTAAAATATATCACTAATACATACTTTGATATCTCTTCATTTTGTAGTATATGTTACTTGCCTATTTTAGAAGATAAATAATAGCAAATAGCAAAAATGAGGCAGTATTAATTCCTTAAATTCTCAAAGCCTGAAGTAAAGAAAGATTAGCCTTCCTTTATCATTAAGGGTTCCTCAGATTTTCTAACCTGATTCCAAACTTACGTTGACTGATGTTGTAGCTGCCATATTCTACCAAGAGAGGCTTGTCTGAAAGTCTGGAGCTGCACTGGAGCTGGATGTGGACCAAGGGGCTGGGCACCCGGAAAATGGTCTCATGATCCATGTAGGAGCCACAGTACCTGAGAAGACAAGGGTCAGGGGGTCCATGTGGTGTGAGGTCCCAGAGACTCGGTTCCGTTGCCAGTGACAATGTCACTGATGCTTTGGTCATTCAGGCTCCGTGAGCAGAGAGGCTTCTGCAGAGCTAAGAATGACAGCTACTTTGTGCTGTGGGACTGTGGTGTGGTAAGAGTGTTCTCCTTCGCTAGACAGAACACAGCACTGTTGACCTGTTGCTTTCTTTATTAACACTGCAGATTAGCAAAACAAAGGCTCAAATTCTCTGAGTTTTCGTATTTCTACTGTCAAAAATACGTAACAAGAATGGCCTGCTTTTATCCATAAATTCTTCTGTAGAGTGGAGCAGAATCTGTGAGCTCAGGCTGAAAATATGCAAATACTCCCACCCACAGTTGAGACAAATGACAACAACATTAATTCAATCTTAATTGAAATCTGATTTGCACTGCGGGGCTTGTCCTTGGCAACGTTTCAAAGAAGGAACAATTACCACGTATTCCCTACCTTGACTTTTTCTCTACTTCCCAACCTTTCACGTGAGCAGGGTTCCCAGGGTCCTCTTGAGTAAATGTCAACCTGGTTAATAATTCTCACTATGTGAGCATTGTAGCTAATGGAGCATAGAATATTACTTTATAGCAAGATAAGTTAGTTTACTGCCCAGTGTAGGCGAGGTTTTTCCAGTGTGAAACCAGTCAAAACTCTATGGGAAACACCTGATACAAGAACAGAGGGCGTGATAGCTTGGTACCTGTGACTGCCAAGCACTGTAGGCTCCCAAGGCATATGGGAACCGCTAATGTTCCATTGCTGTCAGAAGCACTATCTATGAATTTGAAGGCTTAAAAAAAGGGGGGGACACCTATATTATTCAGAAATCTTTGGCAGTTGGCTGAAACTCAGCAAGTTGAGAGGATAGAACCCGCTATGAGGCACAGAAAGAAGAGGCTGTTGCGGCGTCTGAGGGGCACCTAAGGTTAAGTCAAGCTGTTAGGAGCATACCATAGCTGTCATGTACACTGAAAACATGGCCATTGTCTTATCTGTGTCTCAGAGTGGCTGCTTGTGTTTTGTGCCTTCTCTTCTTGCAAAGGTGAGCTCCTCGTGGTGTATTGGTATGGTTTGAATGTGAAGGGTCTCCGACAGGATCATGCAGTTGAGTCGATCCTAAGATGGTAACACTGTTACAGAAGGCTGGAAACACTTAGGGGACAGGTCCCAACTGGAAGTAGATAGTTAGGGGTGGAGTCCTAAAGGGGACATTATCCTGGCTGCACCCCACTCCACCCCACCCCTGCCCCTTCCTCACCTTCTGCTTCCTGGTTGGTCTCTGCAATGTGCCTAGCTGCCCATGTTTCTGGCCACCAGACTGAGCCACTCCTACCATGGTGACTCCTCCGTCACAACAAAAATCCCCTGAAACTTTGAGCCAAACTAAATCCTTCCTTCTCTCTGCCTCATATTTTGTCATAGCAACAAGGAAATTAACTAGCCTACACGCTAAGGAGGAGCTCAAGGAGAAGGGAGCCTTTGCACCTATGCTTGGGCTGGAGTTTGAAGATTAGTGCACTGTAGGGCATGGCACTGAGTTATAGATTAAAAGTGTAAAAAGTGGAAGATGGAAGAAACCCAGCAAGAGTCAGTTTATATTCTGTGTATGGACACATGGCAAGGAATGGTTATCATGAAGAAGTGAAGGGATTTGTTAAAGTTCAGACAGCAAAGATGTTTCTGCTGACTCAGAATCTGTACACCAGTTGGCCTAATGCTAAATTCTAGCACTTTCTTAGACACCAAAGATCTGCTTCGCTAGATTTGCACAAAGGCCGTTCTTCACTGCTCTAGGGTTCCAATACTGCATTCAGCTCCTCTGGGTACAAAGACCCTGTCCATGTTGTCTGATGCTCCCGAGAGAACCTTGGATTTCTTTCCATCAACATTGATTTTTGTTGTTGTTGTTGTTTTGTTTTTTGTTTTCCTGCTTCCACATTGCAGCCCACTTTCCCTCGTCCCACTTCTCAGTTCGGTTTTGGTGAAACAAAGCAGAGCCTTTCTTCTCTAGATGGAAAGGACTGGCCAGGAAACAGCTGGGGATGTGCCTAGCGAGGGGACAAGCAGAATCAGATGAGTCTGACAGTTCTTCAGCTGGCCTAGAGGGGCAGGAAGTTTTCCTGGTATTGGTTGGAAAGAGACTCTTCTACTTGAAGCAAAATGTCCTGGATCATATCATACTTGTTCATTCTGAGAAGAAAAGTCTTCTTTCCTTTTCTTTCTTTCTTTTTTATTTAGTTTTAGCTTTTTCATTTTACACACCAACCATAGTTCCCCATAACCAGTCTTCAGAAAGGTAAGGCCTCCCATGGGAATCAACAAAGTCTGGCGTATCAAGTTGAACCAGGATCAAGGCCCTCATGCAAGGCTGAGCAAGGTATCACTCCATAGGGAATGGGCTCTAAAACGCCAGTTCATGTACTAGGGCCCCACAGACTGCCCAAGCCTCACACTGTCCCCCACATTCAGTGGGTCTAACTTGGTCCTATTCAGGGTCCCCAGCTATCAGTTCAAAGTCAGTGAGCTCTCTCTAGCTTGGGTCAACTGTCTCTGTGGGTTTCCATACTATGATCTTGACCCTTTTGCTCATATAATCTCTCCTCACTCTCTTCTATTGGCCTCCAGGAACTAGGCCCAGGGCTTAGCTGTATCTGCATCTGCATCTGCTCCCGTCAGTTACTGGGTGTAGATTCTATGATGGGAGTAGGGTAGTCACCAATCTGATTACAGAGGAAGGCCAGTTCAGGAGCCCTCTCCACTACTGCTAGGAGTCTTAGCTGGGGTCTTCCTTGTGGATTCCCTAGCACCAGATTTCTCCATAACTCCACAATGGCTCCCTCCATCAACGTATTTCTTTCCATGCTCTCCCTTTCTGCCCTTCCCCCAACTCAATCAACCCTTTGCCCTTTGTCCTCCTCCCTCTTCCCTTTCACTTTTCCTTCCCTCCTCCCCTCCCAGTTTACTAAGGAGATCTTAATTTTTTTCCCTTCCCATGGGGCATCCATGCCTGTCGCTGTTAGGCTCCTCCTTGGTACCTAGCTTCTCAGGGGTTGTGGATTGTAGCCTGGCTATCCTTTTCTTTACGTCTAAGATCCACCTATGAGTGAAAGCATGCCGTGTTTGTCTTTGTGGGTCTGGGTTACCTCACACAGGATGTTTTTTTCTAGTTCCATCCGTTTGCCTGCAAATTTCAAGACGTCATTTACCACCGAGTAAACTCTGTTGTGTAAATGGACCACATTTTCTTTATTCATTCTTTGGTTGATGGGCATCTAGGTGGTTTCCAGGTTCTGTCTACTACAAATAATGTTGCTATGAACTTTGGTCCTGTCCAGCTGGTGTTCTTTAAACTTCTTGTACCTTCATAGGCGTGTTCTTCTATAGGTTGGGAAAGTTTTCCTCTATAATTTTGTTGACTGTATTTTCTGTTCCTTTGAGTTGGACTTCTCCTTCTTCTATCCCTTTTATTCTTAGGTTTGCTCTTTTCATAGTGTCCCAGATTTTATGAATGTTTTGTGTTAGGAATTTGTTGGATTTGACATTTTCTTTGACCAGTGAAACTATTTTTTCTATCGTATTTTCAATGCCCAAAATTATCTCTTCCATCTCTTGTATTCTATGTGGTTATACTTACATCTATGGTTCCTGAATTTCCATTTCCAGAATTCCCACGGTTTGTGTTTTCTTTATTGACTCTTTCAATTTTCATGTCCTGACTATTTCCTTCACCTGTTTGATTGCTTTTTCTTTGTTTTCTTAGCTTTCTTTAAGCTGGATGCTGGGCCTTTCTCTCCTTTTCAAGGCACAGTTTGTCCATTCCTAAACTCTAAGCTCCACAGAACCTGGGTAAGAACATGTACTCCGGGTCTTTACTTTCCTTATATATGAAGTTCGCTGTTAAAGCTTTAGGAATACATTGTTTTGGGTTTATTTATTCTATTAGATAAGGAAGTCTCACTGTGTAGCTCTAGCTAGCCTGGGACTTGTTTTGTAAAGCAGGCCATCCTGGAACTGCCTGTGCCTCTGGCATGTTGGAATCAACGCCATGCACCACAAACTTTTGACGTTCATCTTGCATCCTTACATTGAATGCTAACAAAAACAAGTTTAAAAATAGCTGTAATCAAAAAGCGGTAATATTTTTCCTAGTCAATAAACTACTAGAAGGCAGGCAAGGTTTGAATTTGACCCCATATAAGAGATGCTTGAAACTGGGCATGGTGGTGCATGCCTTTAATCCCAACAATTGAGAGGCAGACATATCTCTCTGGGATATGTAGCCAGCCTGGTCTACATAGTGAGTCCCAGGACAGTCAGTTATGTAAAAAGCCCCATCTCCAAAAACAAAACAAAAACAGGAAAAAAAAATAACATAAACTTATTTCAAGCTGTATTTCAAAAATGAATAAAGGTCACATTTTAATGATGGGGTTCAGTTAGATCTCTTCCAGTGAAAACAGGAGGATGACTACTTTACAGATTGTCTCTCTAATCAAAAGATGCCTTGTTCAGAAAAACCTCTTAGAGGGCTGGCCAGATGGCTCAGTGGTAAGTGCTTGCTATGCAAGCATGAATACCTGAGTTTGAAAACCAACACCCACATAAAAAGCCAGTTGTGATGAATATCTGTAATTCAGCAGTGAGGGTGTGAACACAGGAAACTCGCCGAGGCTTGCTGGCCAGCTAGCCAACTTAACAAACAAAACCAAACAAAACAAAATCTCCAGTTCAGTGGTCTCCAAAAGATACAGCTGAGAGTGATAGAGGAAAATACCATATATTGTAGAACTTTAACACAATTCTGAAGCCATTTCTGACAACTCTCAGTTCTTCCCCTCCTCTCCTGGGAACCAAGGACATAACCGCTATGCATGCACGTACTGAGATGTTGGGAACTTTCCATCTCCCTGAATGGGGCGAAATAACCCTTAGGTATTGACTCAGTTACTGATGTTTTGACTTAGTCCCTGGGAAGGGGCAAAGTGACCCTCAGAAGCATCCCTTTACCTCATCTGATCTGGCAACCACTCTCCAGCCAATTACTGGTAATAGCCCTTTTGAATAAGCCAATCATAATAGTTAAAGAACAACCCCCAGACACCCTTTCCTTCTGTGGTTTTTCCCTTTAAAAATAGCCTGTACCAGCCATTCAGGGTCTTCTAGCCTCCCGACTTCTGGAGGACCCTGTCATGACAGAATTAATAAAATCCTCATGCTTTTACATCAGCTGTGATGTGAGAGATGGTCTCTTGGGGCGACTCCTCCTCCTCGGTGATTGGACACTAGGGTCCAACAATATCAACCTCCAGGATGTCAGCATGGGTACACACACATATACTCTCTCTCATATGCATGTACTGTATGCATGCACATATGTTCGCATCTGTACACACACATAGACTCAAAAGAAAAAAATTAAAAAAAAGAAATGAGGAAGGAGAAAGAGAAGCCTTGTGGAAAAGGAAAGTTTCATTCAGAAAACAACAAAGAGAGAAGAATTGACTGGAAAAGACTTTAACTCACAAGATACTTCTTAGAGTGTGAATTGAGAAGCTATTCTGCCAAAAGAGAGCACAGTTGTATTTTTGAATGCAGTTTGATCGTTTTAGGAATGATAATATAATAATATTATCAACAACAATAATATCTGAGGAACAAGTTAAGATATAAGATGATAGGACCTATGTGATGGATTTGGGAATCCCAGACACCTATATGTTTGAGATTGTTTCTGGTCAACCATTTCCTAGTGTTAGCTTAGACAGGTCAGCTAGGACTCTTCTACAATGCAAAGCTGGCTAGTAGTCTCTTACTCTTGTACCTCAGAATGAGAGACCCTTGTTATTCTTCCCAGTGGCTCCAGGATTCAACAGTGCCTTTGTAAGACACAGAATACCCTCAGGAACAGCTCGGCAGCATAGAGAAAGTGTGGGGCTGAGGATCTGAATTCTGTTGTAACCACAGGTATCAACTGTTCATGTACATGTTTCTGACCTGCTCTATTCTTAGCTCCTTCTCTCAGTAAACTGAAGACTCCCAGGGGACAAGGAACTTTCCATATGATCCCTCAGTAGGAAAATCACTTACATGTGCTCATTAATTTCCCACCATCCATGCTCACAGCCTTTCATACTCTTCTTGGTTAGTGAGTAGTTGTAGAATCTCAGGGCTAGGCCAAGAGTTGCTAGGGGAGTCTGTAAAAAGCAAAAAGCAAGTCAGGAAATGCCTCCATAGAACTCGCTTCAAGTTAAAATGTCCTTGCTTGCCCCATACTCATTCCTTTGACTTACTGTTTTAAAGATGTTCTGCTCTTTGTGGTATGTAGCGCTTGGTGAGAGGTACCATGGTGGGAAGGGGAGAAGAAGCCTGGAGAGGGGAATTGTAGAAAGCAGATGCTATAAAGTAGACAACAGGAAAAAAAATAGGGGTGAGAGAACGAATAATGCAGGGGGAGGAAAGAGGGGGGGATAGAATATTCAGTAATGTTATAGGGAAGCATTATTTTATGTTTACTTAAAAATACAGATATGTGCACATACTCATATATGTATATGTATGTATGTGTGTGTGTGTTTATGTATGTATTTTAATGGGGTTACAGCACATGGTTACAGACAGTGTTCCTCCCAAGAGTCAAGCACTGTGTAACAAAAATTCCAATACCAGGCATGGAAAATTTTCCTTTGTAATTGTTGGTCCAAGGAAACAAGATGGGCTATGTCTATTGCCCTTGATTCCCTTCCCAAACTTGAAGGTAAACCGCTATTATTGCTGAAGACTCGTTCATCAGACACAGGGCTTGAAGGAATAGGGCTGGAACTGACTTGGAAGGCTCCTCCCTGAGAACCGTTGCTCACAGCATTAGAAAGTTCTAGGAATGTTGCCAAAGGAGAAAAGTAATCAGTAGATCTACCCAGGTTTAAAGTCTATAAGCCACAAAAATGACTAGCTGAGCAATTTATCCCCCTTGGTGCAATAGTGGCACTTTTATCTTTGAGGTAATCAACAGCTATCTAATTTGACTGAAGGCCTGGGGGATAGCAGGGAAATTACGTCTGATACGTAAACCTAGACAAGCACTCATAATTGTTGAGGCCGTTGTTCCTGAAGGGAAGTCTACAGCCATCATTTCCCTACATCAATATAATTCCTAGCTGTGTTCTAAATACTTATCCTACAGAGATGTATAGCTCTTGCTCCTCATCAAATCAGCTTCTTTTTGTAAAGATGGATACTACCACATAGACACAAGGGATGGAAATGCAGACTGTGGAATGCCCAACGACAGCTGATAGGTCTGCGACTCAACCCCTATACCAAAGGCTCAAGAAAAACTGCTGAAAAGTGGGGAAAAGATGATCAGTGTGCTTGCTGCTAGACAGTGTCCCCTAGAATTACACTATGCACCCACAAAATATCAACATGTGGTTGCCTGAACAAGACCAGCATAATGACAGTACCGGCTGACAGGACATTGTAGACAATGAAAACTCCACATGGTCCTGCCCATACGTGAAGAGATACAAGTGGTCAGGAGCTGCTGAGAGAGAAGAACAGTTTCTTCCATGGAGGAGCTCCTGCAGAGACTGTCCAGTTCAAAACGATTCATTCTGGAATAGCCTCGTACGTATACACATGAAACCCTACATGAACTCAATAATTAAATAGACATAAAATAATAATAACATAAGAAAAGATCGTGAATCTGGCTAGGGGCAGGGGAACATAGAGGAGGAACTGAAGTGGAGAGGGGAGAACGGAAGTGATGAAGATGAAGGGCTCGTGGATGTGACTGACAAATGAAAAAATTGCTTTTAAAAATTGTAGGAAATGTTTTACCATTCAATCCTATTATGTTCTTCTTTAGATTGATTTTATCCATTGGCATACTGTTCTGACCAATATCTTATATGGTTATGCATTTGTGTGTGTGTGTGTGTGTTGTAAGTATATATGTGTATACAGTTGCTTCTTTCTAACGTAAATATAAGCAGTCATTCATTATTACCCACTTTTGAGAGAGACTAAATCAGACATTTTACAGCTCATTTTAACATGATAATTAACCTGTTAAGCTAGTAATATGATTCCCATTTTACAGAAGAATAAAAACCATAATTGACAGAGATGACTAACTTTCTGGAGGTTAGGAACTGTAGACCAGAGAATTAACCTAATCTTTCACTTGCCACTTTCTTCTCAATATATCATGAGGGACTCACGTAGAATAGAACATTACCCCAAACTGAGCATTAGAAATTTTTGTGGCAAAGATCCCTGCATATTTCCTTTGTAGAGGAAGAGAACAAGTGACTCCCTTCCAAGCCACCCCGTCAATTTCCTCTGCGATATGGAGAGGGGACTTCCATGGTTCACAGTAACTCCACTGAAGGCTGCTGGGCCTTGTCTCATGTCCCTTTTTATGTCCCTTCCTCTATTCCTCACTCCCTTGATGTTATATGACCTTTCCCTTATAAAGGTTTTTTTCTTCAGCCCTCAACCCTAAACCTCTAGCAAAATAGAAAGTAAGCCAATATTCTTATTTCTACTCTGACTAAAAATCACAAGTGTTTATGAGTTTTCATTTTAAGTCTCTGGATTATTACAGAATCAAAATTTGTTCTATATCACAGGAATTTCAAACATTTGGCAGAATTACAAGGAATGGTGCATTCCTTATTCTGGTTTTTGAATGAATTCAAAAAGATATATCTGTGATTTTGGAGGGATTGGAGAAGGAAAATATGGTATTCTCCCCTCTCCTCCTCTTTCCTTAGTTCTCTATCTATTCTCTCTTCCCTCTTAGCTACCCAATCCTCTGACCATCTGAGACACTAAATCCTGAAAATCTGGCAAAGGGCAAGCAAGGATCAAGCTTCTTGTTTATAGAATACCATACTATTGGCAACAAATAACTTAAGGATACTTGTCACCAGGACATTGAAGCAAACATCAGATTTGGTCAAAATAATAAAATAATTTGGAAATATTAAACTATGTATAAATGATCACACATATGGAATTCCCTCCTGCCTCAGGGTCTTCACCTCAACTGTTCCCATGACTACAACACTCTTGTCCTAGGCACTGATAGAGGAGGGCCCCCTTTTCCCTCTCAGCATCTCTGCAAATGTTCCCCTTGCTAATGAGGCTTTTCTGACCTCCTATTAACAAGCTCTCAACTTGCTTCCCTTCACACTTCCACTTTCCCTTCCAAACTCTCACACCTCCTCAACTTCTTCATTTTCCCCCATAGCTCTGTGTCACCATGTGACACACTACAGTTAGTTGTCCCTCAGTATCTTGGGAAGATCGATGCATGGACCCTTCTCATCTTCAAATCTAAGGACACTCAAGTCCCTTACACAAAATGCATAGCATCTGCAAAACTCACACATGTCCTCTCATATACTCGAAATATCCATTTTGTCCATACTGGCTAATGTCACACAATCATTTTTGTAAAATGCAGTTTTATTCTATTGTTTGAGAAATATATGTTCAATATAGGTACACACTTGATGTTACTGAACACTTCATTTAACTGAACCCATAGAAGTGAAGCCCACAAATAGGGAGGATTCTTTGCATATGTAGCTTGTTATCACATCACCTGTCTCCCCCTCCTGGAAGACGCATTCCATGAAACACGAAGTCTGCACTTATTTTCTATTTCAGATTTTCTGTCTATTTTAGTACATGGTTCCAGGCCCACAGCTATCATTCAGTGACATATTGATGAATTCAAACCGTATATATTTGTCATTTACATCCAGTCCAATTATGATGCCACACACTAACGATTTTATGCGTATGTACTCTGAGCCATACTGACATCTTCCACTTCCACACACTATTATAGTAGGAAAAGAAAAGCGGCTTTAAGACCAAGATTAAGCAACGCCTTGACAAGCAGAAGAGGGAGATTATGAATTTCATATAAATTTACATTTTGATTTACTCATATACTGAATATAAATAATCTAATCTATTATTTTATTAATCTCCATTATGAAATAGCACTATTTGTAATAAAATAATTCGCTGATTCTGCGACAATATCTTTAGATTTTAAAAGAAAAATAAAAACAAAATAAATTGGAGAAATGTGATCAAATCAGTTGACAGCAGTAGTTATCCTGATAGCAAAGGATGTAGAAAATGTAAATTTTCATTTTCTAGATAATATATTTCAGTAAGGTTTATAGCTCTTAACATTAAATGGTATTGTGCTTAAAACTTCAGAAACAAAGGGGTTAAGACAGATTTTGCTAAAATAGAACAATTTTCCCCCAAGATACTAAGAAGTTCTAGGCTACCTGAAATTTCCAGGTACACGTGCACTTCGGCGGATAATAGCTTGGGTAATACGGACTTGAAATTTTCCCTTCAAAGCTGTTGATCTCCTTGACCAATATCGTGTTTTCACACTCTGAAAAAAGGTATCCACACACAAGGACCAGGCGTGAGGAGATGAGGACGTGGCTGCACGCTTTCTCTACTGTGCATATTTACTCAGCTAATGAACTGGCGTAGTTTTGAATCAGTATCTCTTCAGAAAAGGAACCCCCCCCATAGATACTTAGCTAATGTCAGGTCCCAAGGAAACTCCCAAAATTCCAAAGATAGTCCAGATATCCAGAAATGGGCTCGGCCTGGACTAGAGGAGGATTTCTGGATGTTAGATAAAAGCCAACATTCCTCAGGAACTCTTCCCTGCCCTCTATCAGAAGTTATGTCTCTTATCATTGGCAGAGGGACAAATTGTTATCTGTGTGCCAATTAGCATACCAAGGCTGGTGCTGGCCTGCAGGCTCCCTCATTATGCAAGTACTCGTGACACATTTCAAAGGGATGCTAGCATCCTAGCTCTTCTAACCTCCTCCCCTATGCTCAACTCCTCCCACTCACTGGCTTCCCTTCCCCTAGCTACCCATTCCCCTTATAACACTACTGTTTCTCTCTGTGTCTGTCTTTTACACATTCTCTCTCTCTCTCTCTCTCTCTCTCTCTCTCTCTCTATCTCTTTCCCCCTCCTCTGATCCTATTTCTCTCAAGGTCAGGTCCAGTCTGCTGGTCACGTTCCATCTACTACTTCCCCTCTCTGCTATGGATTTTTGCAGATGCTTCTGACTGTTTATCTAGCTAGATAGCTATCTCTTTCTCTCTATCTCTTTATAATAAAAACAAACATCCCTTTAACTATATCACAGAGTGATCATGTCAACAGTTTATACAGCTAACATGTTTTTCTCACATTCTAAACTTGTTTTCCAGTCCTCATTTTTGCCACAGGCCTGTAGGATGTGACTACCTTCTTTAAAGCATGGTTCTAGATTCAGAGACACACCAGAAGTAGGTAAGTGGTGAACTTGCTAAGAGGCCAGAGCTTCATCCACAGACCCCTTCCTCCATGTTCTCAATCACATTAATTCCAACCTTCTCTTTGCTCTTCCAAACACACTTTGAATTCTCCTTTGCCCTTCTGAGTTACCCAATCAACATGTTTCTGCTAACAGTTCTTTACTGAGTTTACTATGAACCTCTCTTCTGAGTCAGGGTTAAGATCCAGTAAAATTTCTTTGCCTGGCACAATTAATATGACAGCATAGCCTCAGGATAGAAAGATTACAGTATCTTCACAAGTATTGCAAGTGATGTGTTTAAATTGGAGAAGACTTACTTTGTTCTGGAATGACTTCAAAATATGCCCGGATGCCTGACAGCCTCCGCACATAGGGAGACTTCAGTGTCACCAACATGAGATTATTCGTAGAAACAAATGACATTAGTGCTCTTGTAGGTTCACAGAGCCTGCAACCAGATAACAACACGTGAATAATTGATTGCTTCATCAATGGGTCTCCACACTCTACCATCATCTCTCATATTGCCAGAGCCATTACTCAGTTCCGAATTGGCCTCTGCTAGTTAGACCTTCATCAGCGAGTAGTCGCAGACTGACTACTGCAGACAGAATGGAGCTGGAAGAGATGCAGAAGGATTCCTCTAGTGATGACTACCAAGGGATTTTCTCAGATGGCCATTGTTGGCCTCTTCTGGAGAGCAAACAGGGTAGAAAGGTGATGTGTGCAATGGCGTGCTTCCATGGGCCAGCTGGATGAAAGATGATAGACAGTCAAACTATTAAATTTATGTAAGTTCCAGGGTTCTTTCCATGAAATGGTAAACTGCACTGATGCTGCCCATTGCTCTGCAGTAAGGATCAAGAGATAATAGTTCCACGTGTCTGGAAGGATGAGGAGATGCTAACAATCACTGAGGGGAGACAGGAGTGAACTTACTTTTCATTGCATATCATATATTGTGTTTGGACTTCTAATAAGTATATTCCTCACCAAAATATAAATGCATTTGTACACATATAAAACACAGTGATACAAGTAAATATTGTTAAAAATAAAGTCATTCACATGCCTTTTTAACACAGTACCTAAATAAATCTTAATCACCATCATTAACTTATTGATTATTAAGTGTCCATGATAAAGAATAAAGTAATTGTTATTATTTTTTGTGGCCTCATTTTTCTTTATAATGAACATCTTTGTAATTAAAGAAATTTTTAATTTTTAAGTGATCTAATCATCTTAGGGTATTTATTTTCATGCTCTAGTGATAAATAGACTTTACTGTATTTGTAGTGAAAGCCAAATTACATAAAATATCCGATGCATTTTTATATATCTTGCCCAAAGTCTTTTCTATGTGGACTCTATGAGTCTTATGTACTACAAATGAACAAAAAACACAAAATCTGACAGGCCCTTGAAGTATCCGGGATATCAGGGTCAGTTCTTCGACATAATAAATACACTTAATTTTTTATGTAAATGATTTGTAAATAAAGAGTATGAAAATCTTTTTCACCAGGCAACTAGGAAGCCTGCATCTTACCTGTACAGGGTGGCACTCCGGATTGGCAAGAGGGAGTCGTAAACAGTCAGGGAGTCAGTGATGCAGTTGTCAGCTTCCAATTGGACAGACTCAATTGAGAGACGAATCAGATAACCCACTATGGCCACTAGCTTGAAGTGACACATTAGCTGTCCTGAGGTTGCAGAAATTTCCAGAGGGTAGCGGAGGGTCAGATGATCTGCATAGAAGTAGTGTGAGCAGCCTTTGTCTGTGGAGAAAGGCTGTCCTTAGTCCTGTCCCCTCTTCACCTCTCTCTCTCTCTCTCTCTCTCTCTTTCTCTCTCTCTCTCTCTCTCCTCTCAAGGCATGGCATCTCTAGAAATCTTTACAAAAGGGTAGCAAGCAAAGCTCTCACATGGAGGACATTTGCTTTCCTTGCCCATCTAGAGACTCCATGCTCTTCTCTTTCGGTGACAGAACTGATCACTTTGAGAAAATGCCCCTACTTAGTCCATATGCTAGTTGGGGTTAAATTCAGCTCTGATTCCATAAGTGGACACATAACCAGATTGGCCAGTTGTCTCAGGAAGGGGCACATCCACCAATCTATGTTATGGGATTCAGCTCAGAAGTTCTATGGGAACTTTCTTGAAATCTGTGTGCAGGAGTTCCCCACAACAACTGAGAGAAATTATCAACGCCAAGCTTTGACTTGCTACAAGAAGGGAAGCTTCGCGTGAGAGCAAAGCCTCGGCACATGAAGGCAGAGATAGAGAGTCCTGCAGCATTTCATTTTAGAGCTTCGTTCCAACCATGCCTGAAGTCAGCGTATCCCACCTTTGTCTCGACTATTAATACATCAGCTGATCGAGTTCCTTTGTGCTAATGTCACTCGCAGCAAAAGAGCATTAACATCATTAGAAAAAGCAAAGTGTGGCCAGTATATATACACACTAGACAGGGGTAAAGAGGAAATTCATGCAGTTACCAGATCCTATGGTTGAAGAGTAGTCTGAGCGGAGCCCAGCTGCATTGAAACAGTATAGAAAGAAGACCGTTAGTTCCAGAGGTTCATTTGTTTAGAAAAAATGTTCCCAGTCCTTCTTTAAAATAACCAAACACATCTGACATGGGCTGTACTTCACAATAGGCCAGTGAAGAGCAGAGTTATCTCAGTATTTAAAGGTAAATACCATAGCTAGGAGATGCAAGCCACTGCATCTAAGGATCCAGGAAAATTCTACATACTGTTTTATTTGTTTCCATTCATAGTCACAAATTTTAAATGATTTAAAGGTAATAAAACAAATATATAAATAATACTAATTAGTCTCATGACTGAAAGAGTAAACTTAGTATGGAATTTTCCACTAGAGATTTTTCATTTGTTCAAACTAAATATCAGTTGTGTGTGTGTGTGTGTGTAATTGGTACTTATAAATTCAACACTTATATCAAAAGGCAAAGCTACAGAAACTTTGAGTGATGCAATGTTTTGCTGTCAAGACAAATGGCACCACTATGTTTCCACGGGGCTAAGGCACAGCCTGATTGGGAGCATTGGTGGAGACAAGGTGTTAGGGAATAGGACTGGGGGTGGTCAGATCTCAAATGCTGGCCCTTCATGAGAAAGTGAGAAGCCTCTAGCCAGCTTCTGACTGACCGCAAAGCTGAAGAAAAAAAAAAAAGATAAAGTGTTGGCCATGCAATGCATTTACATGTTTTTCTCCTTAGCTCAGTAAGGCAAAGAAGATAATAAAGTGTGGTCAGCTATTCTCACCCTGTCCAAACATACATCTTAATTCTTATGACACATCCATATCTGGTAACAAGCCACTACAGTATGATCTTCCATGAAGGGCACTAGACCTATAAGGGCAAAAACAGGCCTCTGGCCCACTCACTTGCACATGGCACAGGGTCCATATGATGCAACCTCTATGGCAGTATTTCCCACACTGAATACAGATGTGCAAAGACTCGAAAGGATGGAATCTAATTTTCACATAGTTAGGCTCATTTTCACACACCATGACCCCACCTTAGCCTCAAACGTCTCCAAAACAACCACTCCGGAGCCAGCAAAAGTGGCTTAGCAGGTCAAGGCTCTTGATGCCAATCTTGGTGACCTGAACTTGATCCTTACAGGATTGAAGGAGAGAATCAGCTTCTGCCAATTGGCCTCTGACCTACATACATGTGCCATGGTAGACAGACACATATGCAATTTGAGATGCATTGTTAAGACCCAGGAGAGCCATTTCTTTCCCCTCCCTGTGTGCTCGCTTCATCTTTCCGTGTTATGCAGCACTTTCCCTCACCAAATGTTCACGTGGCTGCTCTTCTGTTCTCCCTCCTTTACTTTGCCCAGGAGGGGCCTTCTTTCTAGTTTTTTCATCTGGGACCAGACTAAACTCTCAGTCCCCAGCAACAGCACTCGTAAAATACAACAAAGGAAAAAAATAAGATAAACCTTAGTGAAATTCTTCTACTTTGGAACTTCCTCAGGAACATAGTCTGAAGGTGTCTGAGTTTAATAAATGATGCAGGAATACACTTTAATAATTATAACTGTGTTCACAAGTCTCCGTTTCAGTCATACTGTGTATAGCATTTAAAAACTTCCCTCACCAACGATAGCTTCAAGGTCCAGCTGGTCCTCTGCTCTGAGATTGTGAAAGAGTCTATATTACAATGTTACATCTAATAATGGTGTCAGAAGTGACACAGGAAGGAATGCTTAAAGGAGAATTACCCAACAATCACCATTTAGTACCACAGAGTCCATATCCACAGCCAGACCCTGCAGGCTTCCCACAGAGGTGCGGTTTATGATGCTGGTTTGGATGGAGTCCTTCAAGATGGCTGCCACACACTCCTCGCAGAAGAAGTGGCCCTTGGCGTGTGGCATGACAAACACAATCCAAAAGTGGACCAGGAGACCACCTTTGTTGTTACTGCTATAGAGAAAGAGAGAGAGAGAAGTGTTCAAAGATGCCTCTTAGAAAGTAAACATTACCAGGAAAGCAGAAACTGACAGATTCAAGGCCACTGAGAACACCCTTCGAAGGAACCTAATGTCCTTCTGTAGGTTGTCTTTGGTGCTGGTATAAGGATTGGGAAGAGAAGATGTCGTGTTGCATGTGTTCTAATCATCGTGGTGGAGTCTACTCTGGAAGCATTACGTAATAGCTCCAGCGGCACAGATTCTGTTAGGGGTATCAAATTAGTCACTGTCTACTGCAAATATTGACAGTTCAGTTCTGTATCTCAACAAGTCTCACACAGAATCACACATGCTTTGTCCAGCTAACCTGCTAATGGCCCAGTTCTGCAGATGCAAAACTTGAGGACAAATGTGGTTCACAATCACATGATTAATATGCGATGGAGCTAGAAACAGGGTCCAGTTTTCTTTCTAAACTGACCATGGAATCGGCACTCGTGGTGTGCAAATACAACATGCTTTGCGGTAGAAGCATATGATAGTGCTGTGTAGTAAAGAACTTGGGAAAGGGAAGCTAAGGACAGCAGACAAGCTGATCCCCTCCACGGCTTCTCAGTAGCTTTCTTATGAGTCTCTGCATCCGTACGAAGGGTAAGAGAAATGTGATTACAGTATACAGAACACAGCTTTTCCTGATAAGTTATCATTTATACCATGAGTCTCAGGTAGTCTCTAGTAGCCAGTTTGTCACTGAACGTATTTTGGAAAGTAGTGGTTTGTATCTTATTCTTCCTCTACCATTCACCCACCATGGTGGCCATGTTTGTGGCCATTTCCTCCAGAGACACTGAAGTCAGGATTCCATTTGGATGAAAGGGAGACTTGGTAGATATAAAAACAGACTTGATGTGGCAGCCTGACAGGCGTCTGGGTCGTTAGTTTTGCTAATGGGGTGTTCATCAACAGCAAATTGTTTCTGAGTGGGGGAATCTCAGTCCTTTCTGGGATGGAAGCAGGGTACGTGCAAGGATGGTAAGAAACCCAGAGCGAGAGTCATCCGTTACCTGACGTCTGCAACCACCGACTGCTTATAAAATTTGGAGAAAGTAGATGTTGTGTAAACAAGGTTAATCTGAAAATAAAGAGATCAAATTATATTAATTCTTTCAAACTCAGTTTCCTTGGGGTCGAATTTCAACGGTTAACAGTGGGGAAAGCAGGCCTCAAGCTGAAGGCTTCTAACTCCAAACCTAGGCATTATCTCCTGAATTTAATTAATTCCTCATTCTTGAAGCATCTCTTAGAACTCTTTTATTCTGCTGTGAAGAATCATCAGTTGTTCTTATCTATTTATTTCTGCTTTTAAAGTCGGTCATCAAGTTTAACTTCTGAGTTCTTCCCAGTCCTATATTTTTCTCCACAGATCACAAATGTATTTATCACCTGTTCCAGATCTGGTAATTCCCAAGACAAATTCCAGTATTAGCCACAAGGCGGCGCGTGGTGGCCATAGTCAGGCCAACTGTCTCAGGTCAGCAGGTCCAAAATTTCATAACTGGCTCTCAAAGGAGACCTTTTTCAATAAATATAACATCTTTGTCCTTGTTTAGCTGTTCCTAAATCTAAACTCATTCTCCTCTCCAACTCTAAACGAAAAGCACCCACCTAACTGTCCAAATCTTAAAAATTCTATGATATTGTGAAAAAGAATATGAAGGTTAAAATAACCCTACAGCACCAGAAATATTGCCTAATCCTGCTGGGTAGCGTTTGTTTGGGTTCACCCTGTCCACCTAGCAGGCATAGCTTGAGGTATAATTTGTGCACCTATACTTGAGGTGACGGAGTTTCTGCTGTAGGACGCCCTCCGAGAATTGCTGTCATTCTCAAAGCCTCTCCTCATTTCCCACTGCAGCGAGGTCCCTGCAAGCCCTCTGCATTGCTGCAGAAGTCCAAAGGAGCAGAAACCTCCCCATACTCGCCCTGTGCCAGGAGCCCCGAATGGATTTTTTTCTACTAGACGCTTTTAGGAAATCATCTGGGGACGAAATCAGAGATATGCATAATTCATGGCAGTTTTGATTTTGTATTATGTATGATGTAAAAAAAAAACCTGGGGAACAGCTTAAACAGCCATTAAAAAGGGATTTGTTAACTTTGAGATTATTAACACTTGCTTTTAAAAGAATATTTGCTTGCACAAAAGGCATGAAATGCAATGCTGAGAGAAAAATACCACACTAACAGAATAATTGCTAATACTCCACTATTTCAGTGCTCTTGCGTCCTTGTAAGCCAGAATCAGAGCTTTTTCTCTGAAAATTACATTGAAAAACTGATGATCTTTTTAAAAATATACTTTTCTGAATTTTATTGATTTTCATAATATTTATTATTTGAATAAAAAGGATGTTTTGCTTTTGTTTTTTGTCTTGTTGTTGTTGTTGCTTTTAAGTGAAGAAATGGCCAGTGTAAAGCTGGAATAAATATGTAGAAGTCACAATATTAATCAGTGTGTTTGAACTTCAGAACTGAAGAGTATTTTAAAAATCACACGATAGTCTCTATTTTACAGAGGAGAAAAACAGAAAAAAAACTATTCTTTTAGGATTACGAAAAGGAAGAACGTGACTGTCTTACGAAAAGGAAGAATGTGACTCTTACAGTGAACATGAGCTAAATAGAGGGCAGAAATGCAACTATATTTTTAAAGCACAGATGAACTCAATTCACTGTTTTCCTCCAGCAGCTTCCTTTTGGGGCCCTGCCCTCTATTTCCTAAACTCCGTGAGCTTGGACGTTAGGAAGCCCACCCACACCACCTAGCCTGCTCCCGTGGGCTCCACCCTCCTGCTCCCGCGGGCTCCACCCTCCTGCTCCCACGCCCTCAGCCTCACCACTTGCTGTACTGTCTTCGCCATGGAGAGAAATTCCCTGGACTCCTTCTGCCGGTACTCGGGAAGAAACTCAACGTTGGTGATGCGGAACATCCCAACAAAATAAAAGGCGTCTTTGCTCTCTGTCTTACCTGCAAAACAAGAGAAAAAGGCAGGCAGTGAGAAGATTGTTGCAGCTAAGCAACACCTGATCCGAGTCAGCAGGACGCTCCTAAAATGATTGCATCTTAGGCAGACACAGGCTAGCGCACATCATGACCTGTGACATCTCTCCCGTCACTGTAACTCTTGATACAGTCTGCCCTTCCTGGTTTCTACTGGCAAATACTTAAAAGCAAGGTTTAAAGGTTAAAAAACTGCACGTCTTGAACTTTGTCCTAGTGTCTAAAGAGTAAAGAACATACACAATTTCGTTAATTCCATACCTGCAAGCTGTCAGATGCTAACACATGCACCATCACGGTTTAGGGTGCTGTTAGCATGATGGGGAAAGACAGAAAAAAATCCCCCTGACTCTTGGGAGCTTCCACTGAGCTGCTGGCTGACTTGTGTGCCTAAGATTGAGGAGTGAGGCCACATTTCTGCTCTGTCCAACATATGGAGCATTTATCCTTACCAGCATGACCTTCGGCTCAGCATGGGCTCACTCCTACTCAAATCTGCTCTGAGAACTGTAATGCTAGGTTTCTTGGCATGAACTCTGCTGACAGATGGACAGAGACAAGGCTGGCGGCATCTGCATGGACTCAGGGTTCATGAGAAAGAAGAATTGGAAGTGACTGGGGGAATTGAAGTCTAGTCCTCTTGCACCCCCCCCCCCACACACAATATCAGGGCTTGAACTCTTGCTAGGCAAGCACTATAGCACCAGAGTACAGTTTCTCTTCCTTTCCAAGGTCTCTCTCCTCTTCCACAGCTCCCCATGGATTTTTTTGTAATATTTATTCATTCATGCATTTACTGCGATGCTGTGAATCAAATTTAGGAAATTGCACATGGAGTCAAGTGATCACCACTGCTCTATATTCCCATCTATTAGTCTTTCAGGATAATCTCACCAGGACAGCCCAGGCTGTTCTGAGCACCAAATCTTCCTGCCTCTGCCTCTCAAGTGCTTGAATTACAGTAATGCGCTGCCATGCAGCTTCTCACAGTGCTTTACAACCCTGTCCCCTGTGGCAGTCACCCCTGAGCAACCCTTTCCAACTTTCTGAGGGAATGCACAGTAAACCATTGTTTTACCTCAGTTCTTGACCTACTACCTTTGGACCTTAAGACGTTTGGTGGGGAAGAAAAGAATGGAGGGGCGCAGAAATGAGGAAGAGAATATCCCTACACTAGGCCTCCAGAAAGAGAATATCCCCTTGCTAGCACAAGGCCTACCATCAGGTGAGGCTAAACACAAGATGGTTGGACTTAAAAGATGAACTCTATAGGAGTGACAAAAATCAGCCTCTTCTAGGGTCTCCTTGGGGTCGCTTGGGCCAAGGCAAAGAAGTGAGGCTATGAAATGATGGGGTACACAAGATAAATGCAGGAAACCTTTTAGGGGGGACATATTTTGGTCTTCTGCTCATTGGACTTTGATCATTATGTTCCTGACCTTGGCAGATCATCTCGCCTCACCCTTTTGGTGCCTCACTAGATCTCACACTTGAAGCTAGTAATTGCTTTTGGTTTTGGTTTTCCGCAGAGACAATTTCTATGTAGTTATTTATTCATTTATATATCATTGTTTTTTAAATAATCAAGAGGCAGAACAGCAGTAATGCAGAAATGATCCGTTTAGCATTGAATCCAATTATATTTACTCAATACTTTTAGCTCAGCCCAGCACACAAGCCCTTGCTGCCTTCCCTGATTCACTGTCTTCCTCAAGTCTCATGGCCACCTTCTATGACCAAACTGTATATGTCAGAAATAACCTGTGTTCTATTGAACAATTCTTATTCAAACAAGTTTTCTTGTTTCCTACTGCTGTTCTGTTTCCATGAAATGGCCCTCTCTGTTTTTTATACAAAAAAGCTACTTTTGTATGTTTTTCTAAAACCTCAATTATAGGATTTTGCAAATATATCAGTTGGAAGACCAGGAAACTCTATGTTCATATGGAGTGTATTGTCTTTATTGCCCATTGCCTTAACTTGCCCTGTCAGTCTATAATGTCCTTGGACTCAGAAATGGTATCTGACTTGCCAGTTCATTCCATGCCTATCACAGAGGTCAGCTCACCTTGGCACACCCACAATATATCCAATGAACTTTCAGGAGACCTGGAGGCCTCTATCTCTAGGCTCACTGAGTGCCCCTCTCCAATAATTACAGAATAATCACTTCCGAATGAAAACATAACCCACATCCTTTCTTGAACACCAATTTGTGGACTTTTCAAAAGTAGAAAATGCATCAGTAAGCTTTCTGAAGATTGCCTGAGTGCTTAGAATATGACAAATTATTGAGGATCAATTTATAAGGATAAGTGAGTGACCCAAACTGCTCAAGAACATTGATGAAATCTTTTCCAAGAATTGTCTTGCCTTCAAATCACACTTAATATCCTTGACAACAGATACAGGCAACCTGTTTCTCAACTCATAACATTTTCGACACCAGATGTGTGGGTTTTATCTCTGCATCAAGCAACCCCCCAATTCTCTGCAGATAGCAATGAGCATCCAGTGACTCCGTGGAACTTACACTGAGTGTACAGTTCCTGCCTTTTTCACGTAATAATGTTTTGACCTCAGATGCCAACTAGAAGTAGTGTACCCCTAAGCAATCCATGCTGCTTCTACAAATCAGGGTTTCTCCCCATAACCCCTTCAGTTGTGATAACTTGTTATCATAGTTAAGACATTTCATTATTACTTGTTCATTATTTGTGGGATATTACATAAGATAGTATAAAGAACACAAATGAACAATTAGGCAGACCACTTCATCGGGGTGAAGCCTCCACAAGCCAGAGCCAAGAAGCTCCTCTCCCTCTGAGGCTCCCGTCAAATTCACCCACATAGAAATGTTCAGACCCTGACTTGTAGGTGTTTTTATGGATGTCCTATTATGAAAGCATAATTGATTAAATTTAATTGGTGATTGAATTTAATCTCTAGCTTCTCTCCTCTCTCCAATGTTGTATAGAATTGAAAGCTACAGTCTGGCAATGCCATGGAGCCTCTGTCTTTCTGGACTTTCAGGTACCAATCATCTTATCGTTATGAGAAAAGGAAAACAACAAAAAGCAATATTCTTAGAAGTTCTGTATTAGCAACTAAGAACTAGACCATGATGAAATATGACAACAAAAGACACCCCCATCCACTATCATTTAGGAAGCCATAAGAATGTCAGAAGCCTTGTATCAGAAACCAGGGACTGAGAACACAAGTATATGTCTTCTGTGTGGTTAAGTGCACTTTATATCAAATGTATCACACACAAGGGAATGCCAATGCAAGCCAACCAGTGCTATGGTTACCAGGATGAATCAGTAAGTACTCCGTAGGAAAGAGTCTAGTTGTCACATCGGCCCCAAAGGATCAATCAGATTGACAAAAGCATAGTTACAGGGGCAAAAACAGAACTGGGAGACAAAGATGTTTATATGAAAGGGGGCTCAGGGAGTCGGAAATTTAAGGTTGCCTAGTAACAGGCTGTGGGCGGAACAAGGAAATGAAGCAGCTTAGTGTTCCATTCATTTTTTAAGAGCTACAAAAGCATCACATTTATGAGTGAGTCAACTCCCTTCCCATCCTCCACATCTGAGCATCCTCCACAGCTCCTTTCCCATGCCTCATCCCTTCTCCTTTTGTCCACTCATGAGAAGGAAGAGATGGCGAGAGAGAAGAAATGACAGACGGTTATGGTGGCTTTCCTGTTGGCATCTCAAACCCCTTCATGGAAGCAGTGTGTCTATCTGAGAAAGATGGGAATTCTATTGAAGAACCCAGAGATGGCCTAGGCCTGCTGATTTAGGCAGGACTCATCCTACCCCCAAAGGAATTTAAACTTTAACTTACTGATATAAAGCCATAGAAGTGTCCAGGCTATGACGGCCAGGATGAACAAAAATACCGTGAAGAGAATGATCTTATTTTGAACGTTCCAAAGGGTAACTCTCTTCTTGGGTTGCTTGCGGGACCTGGGTTTGCCAATGGGTTTTCGAGGCAGCCTTCTCCCTGGAAGCTTCCCCGGGGCGCTGACCACCTGAATGGAGATGTTGGATATCTTTCAAAGAAAAGACAAGCCATTGATTAGAAGTCATCTCAAGCTTGAGTGGAGCGACTCGCGCAGGAGACATTGGCACCAAAAGGCCTATCAATCAAACCTGTGAGAGTGCAGTAAGTGGTTTTGATCAGTTACAAAATGGAGCTCAGAAAATCTAGACGTTAGGGCTGGCAAAATAGCCCAGTGAGTAAAGGTGCTTGCTACCAAACCTGGTGACCTGAGTCTGACCCCTCCAGGCCAGTGGTTGTCAACCTTCCTAATGCCACCACCCATTAATTCCATTCTTCATGCTGTGATGAAAGCTCCCCAATTATAAAGTTATTTTTCTTGCTGCTTCATAACTGCAATCTACCACTGTTATGGATGGTAAGGCAATATAAGTATCTGTGCTTCCCGATGATCTTAGGTGACCCCGTGAAAGGGTCACTGGACCCCAGAGGGATTGTGACCCACAGGCTGAGGACCACTGCTCTAAATCCACAGAGGCAAAAGGAGAGAAAATTCCTGAGAGTTGTCCTCTGACCATACACATGCACTCATGTACTTTTAAAAAAATATATAAAGAAAAGGAGACACTAGACATGATGCCAACCATAGAGGCAACCTCCCAGGTCCTTTCCAACCCTATTGAATGAAGCCAAGGAGCAGAGGTCCAATCACATGGAGCCAAACAGACAAAGGGATCTGAAGGTTGGGAAATGAGGAAAGTCCTATGGTGTCCTGATGCTTGGGTTGGCACAGCCTTCTTTGTGTCTTTCTTTGAGGTGTTAGTTTTTAATTTGAGATTCAGAAGGGATTGAGCTTGGGGGCATTTGTTTTATTAGACAAGATCTCGTCATGTAGCTTAGGCTTCCCTTGAATTCACAATTCCTCTGCCTGTGTCCTAGGTGTTGGGATTACATGA